ACGGCCACACCCAAGTCTTTGGGGCCTGCCACGCCGGCGACTGCGACACCCAGCAAGGCGGCTTCGGCCCCACCGATCACTGCACAGCAGCTCATGACAGCTATGAGCACAATGCACGGCGATGTCAAGATGTCCCATGTCGACTTGAAAGGGCTCATTGCCACGGTCAGTGAGCTCAAAGCGTCTATTGGGGCTCTGCATGACCTCCCTGCCCGCGTGGCGTCGATCGAGAAGATCCTAGGCACTCTGGCTGGAAAGCTCGGACCTATGGCGGCCAACACGGACAGCACTCAGAAAGCCGTCGATGTCGGCTTCAAGGAGAACTTAAAGCTTCTCAGCACGATCTCCTCGAATGTCCGCGGACATCGCGAGGATGCCCAGCAGGAAGCCAAGGAGTTCCATGCCGAGCAGGGACAATGGCTCACCAGCACGGAAGCCAAGCTGGTGGATGGCATCAAGGAGGTGCTCAAGAAGATCACCAATACTGACTTCAACTCCTCTCAGGTTTACAACCAGAAACTCGAGGGGATCGCCTCGGAAATACTGGCGGCCTTGAACTTCACCCAGGGTGAGGTAGCGGACTTGAAGCAGTCGCTTGCTTCCACCAGTGAGGAGGTGCACAGCATCAAGGAGATGTGCGAAAGGCCTGTGGTGGCACACAGCCCGCCCACCTACAGGGCCCCGACGTTCCACCCTCACCAGGACATCCCGCCGGCGCCTCACTATGATGCTCGCCAGCGTGTGAACCTACAGCAAGCACTGCCTCTGGGTAGCTCTGAAGGGATTACCGTAAATCCCGATGGCCGCAGCCTCAACATTCCGCTGCGCTAGGTAGCTGGTCCGAGACATCAGCAAGTTGATTTTCCTGCCTGAGGTCAAAACTTTCCTTTCTTTTACTTACTTACTATAGTACGTGTTCTACGAGTATATTTGTATACTAGTCCGATCTCTTTGCATGACCTTTTGCCGGACTGTCTTCACTTGCTGCATGCCCTTGCCGTTGAATTCATGCTGGACTGTCTTCCTTTCCTTGCCGGACTGCCTTTTCTGCACTAATTCGTTGCATTCTGCGATCTTGGATATGGCTAGCCTCACGGTTGGACCATAATGTTGACGCCTGCCAGCAACCTGTTTGCACGAACCTTCGGAACTGTTTCTATGCATGATGCCGGCCTTAATGCAGTTGTGCTCCCTTCTCAATCCAGGAGCAAGACTACGGCAGCACACCTGTTGGATGCAAAACAGGGGTCATTGCTTCTTGCACATACGCACTTTCGCAACCTTCTTCATGTATCCCGTCCTGATTTTGGAAGAACTCTGTAGTATCCCGGCTCAGAGCGACCTCATGATGTGGCCATCCGGTAAACTAGCCCTTTCCCCTGCAGTCCCGATCTGCATTCCTGACTCGCCTAGGATCCGATGTGCGTCGCAGGTGTTTGATCTTGATGATACATTGTCGTTGTCGTCAACACAGATTGACACAGACCTTGTTAGTCAGGAAGGTTCCCAGCACATCGGTAGCGGAATCCCCGAGCAAGGCTCCCAGCATACTATTAGGAACGATGACCTACATACGCCTCGTCGTAGTTCCTCTGAACCCTGGTACATTGCTTGTCATGATTTCCACCCAAGTCCTTTGCTACGACCTCTGGAAATCCGGGCATATAAACTTCTCATGGCCCCTCAGTATCCTAGTAAGCAGGATGTCCTGGATCTTTTCTGTATGATGCCTAGGTCCTACCTCAAAACCACCCCAGCAGGATGCCACCTAGTCAGTGGAGCCTCTCCCCGATGTCCCGATTCAGGCTTGACACACAGCACCGAGATGCCTTTTATGAGTATGGTAGTAAACAAGTTCATGGCGCGAACCTGTCCTACTCACTTGTACTCTACTTTTGTCATTCGACGTGGTGTCATGTCCCAGGTTCATCGTGACTATCGTAATGGTCCTACCCCTAGTAGTATACTTTGCCTCACCCCGTGTCCTGAAGGTGAAGGTCTTTGGTTGCAAGATCCAGCCGGGTCTACGATTCTGCCTTTTCGGGGGTGTGAACTTAGGGGGACAATCTTTAGCCTTCAACAGCCGAAGATCTTTGATGCTAGAAAAAGACTACATGCTGGTTATGTCCTGCCCTCTACAGACCCTACCCAAAGAGTAACACTAATCACCTTCGCCTCCATACACTGTGGCACCTTATCGGAGGAAGTGCGCCATTCCTTACTACACCTAGGATTTCCTATACCTTCTGAAGGGGCTATTAAACGCTCCCTTTTCGGATGCAGCTATTGCTCCCAGCCACGCCTACGGCAGCTTAACTTACCGGATGCCCTGAAACTTTCTGTTGCGCAGCGGGATACTCATGAGGTCATCGAAGTTGTTGACTCACTTGAGGAATGTGCCACACTGGTTGTTTGAGTTTTCCCGAGGTTCAAGCCAGTAGTTTCTGTTCTCCGTGCAAGATGGAGGATGATCACCTGGAGATTGTTCAACCGGGGCACCTCAAACCCTTTCTCCCGCTAGCTGCCCAAGAGATAGCCTCGGCCCTGCAGCAGATGCCGTCTCACCTTGCATGCTGGACTGCGGGAGAGCTGAGATACATCATCCGAGAGTATAAGAAAGCCTGGCATTGGTATTACAATCGTGTCTTTGATCTTTGGGTTTATCTGGACTCTCTGGATGCTGTTGTCTCAGACTTCCCGCGAGCAGCCCACCCCTTACCCCTTACAACCTACTGTTCTCGTGAAGATGCTAGGTTTCTTGAGGACTCTGTAATGGACGCCTGGGGTCGTCTAGACTGCACAGCTGAAGCAATCGTCTGGCATCAACTGCGTATACACCTCCCCTGCTGGGGCCTTATCCTAAACCCAGCCCCCATTGAAGGCCTGTACGGATGAGGACGGTTCTTTCCAAGTCGGCTTTTTCAGAAGGTTGCTCTTTCCTGGGTTTGTTTTGGGACTGCTGTGCTTTTCGCACATAGGTCTCTGGCGCCTTGGCTGCATGGTACTGCGAATTCGTGCCTTTGTAGCACTGTGCTGGACTGCTTTTTTGCTTCTGCCGGACTGTTATTCCTTGCTGCCCGCACTGATGCATGCCCTTGCTGTCCTTGCCTTTTGCCTCCTGGTGATGATGCCCTGATGATGTCTGTGCCCGTAGTCACGTCCGTCGGTCGGTCCTACACCCCTATTTCCCTTTAACTATACACCTCTAACAACCGACACCCTCAACCCTGCTCCCGTACGTCCCTTTACGTTAGGCCCCTGGTGGCAAACCACGAACCCGCGCCTCTGCGGTCTGCCATGGATCTCGTTCTGGTGAGACTGTCACACGGCTTATAGATGCTCTCTGCGTCAACGCGGCTTCTAGCTCGGCGTCTGACTTGGCTGCCCCTGGAAACTGCATCCCGTCAATGCGCACTCTGAGACTCGACAGATAAGGCAGGAGTGTCATTTTCTTTTGATGCCGGACTCCACGAATACTTCATGGAAGTGATCCTCTACCGGATCCGCCTTTCCTGCATGGGCTGTGATGTTCTCTCTGGGCTAGCCCAAAGCAAGCTGTCTGGTACATGGTCTGCAACCACGCGGTGGCTGGGACTTTAAAGGAAGATTTCTTACGCCGGGGTCGAGCTCCCCGACACGTGCCGGGGGACGGGGCCTTCCTGCTTCCCTCGTGTTTGGTACTGGACCCCGCTGAACCGAGCTCTCTTCCTGCTACAGCGCAGTATGCTACTTCCCATGCCTATGTCGGAGAGGGTCGTCTGGCTCGAGAATGCATACACTTCAACGTGAACGCTGCAAGACCTGGGAAGTCGTGAGTGTAGTCAGTTCCTCGTTCGCACCAGCCCGTCAGAACTGGGCAGTCCCGACTGGCACGCGTTCGTCCTCAAGTGAGCGCTGAAGTGAGTTCCGTGGGTAGCGTCGTGTATAGTTCTTTTTGCATGCCTGTCCAGACACACATGTAGTTCCGGAAATCGCCTACTTTCTGCATTCTCGCTGGTTTCACGCTTCAATTGTATAGGTTTCATCTGTATACCATACTCTCCTTGCAATTTCAACCTTCACTGTACTCTAGTTTGGAGGCTCCCAGGCGTTTCGTCCTCCGTGGCACTACCTTGGTTTTGACTGTCTTCTACTTCGGGGATGCCTGGAGTACCTCCCTCCTCTAATATGGGGAGTCTTCTCTCAGCCCGCCCGACAGCCGGTCCTGAGTGGCCTTACCTTCTGTTGAGCTGTTGTTCCTTCGGCTATCGGGTGAGCCTCTTAGTCTTTCCTTCTGCCGACTTAGCACCAAGAACCTCGTCTGGCTTGTCCGAGTTGCGAGAGCGTAAGAATCTAGTTCATCAAGCATCAGGCCGTTGCGCGGTGGTTGTACCTGTGGTATGTCGACTTTGTCACAGCCGTCCGTGCGGTCGAAGATCAGACCATGTAATCCCTTCCCCCTAATGTTACAGCCTACCCTATATATATATATATAATATAAAAATAACTCGCCGCCAGGATTTCGCGGTTTCGAACCAACACTTGAAAGTTGATTAACAACATTAGGGGGGAGCTAGGATTGTATGAGATTTAATAGAGCCCAAGATTACAGCTGTAGTAATCAGACTGAAGAGACCAGAGCTTTGGGGTTTAACGGTTCGGGGCTCACGGCCAAAGCTTTAGGGCTTGGGGCTTTACGGCTCAGGGCTCAAGGTTTGGGGCTTAAGGGTCGCTGTTGACTTGTCTGACTGTGCTGACGAATTACTGTCAACCCGACTCACACCCGCATGCACACAACCCCCCCACTAATATTAACACATATGTTTGGAAATCTATGTTTACATGAGGGGGAGGGGGGGGGCGTTTTAACATTAGGGGGAAGGGATTTGCATTCTAGGTTACGACGTATAGCAAGCAGTCTTAGGATGCGACTTAAGTACATCCTAGCTCACAAACCCCCCGGCTTGCTGCAGTTATTCCTCAGACTCGAATGCTCTAGAGCCCAAAGCCCATACGTGCAGGCGGTCGAAGGTGAGTCGGCTCCCGTTCGCTTGCTTCCGCGGCAGCTGCTGCCATGACAGAAAACGGCAGTGACGGGGCTTTAACCTCCGATGTGCGGCGGCCTGCAGGGTTAGCCAAAGTCAAATCGACCGTCAATGCGCGCTTCAGCGGTGTAATGCTTCGATCAGGTATTGCTGGCGTTAGGCTTTATTGTCGCGTGCATACTGATCACACCCGCTTCAAAATCCTGTGCAAGAGCACCAGTAGCAGTTAGTAGAAGAGTTGCTGCACCGCAGAATCGGTTCAAGAAGATGTCAAGGCTCATGCAGCTGAGGGTGCAGGCCAAGCTTCCTGAATTGAAACCACAATGCCAACCCATTCGAGCTGAGCAGCATACGTGGATTTTCACATGTAGCCCTTGCTGTCTAATCCCTGCAGAAAGCTGGTGCCTTGACCCATGCACCTCAAAAGGTCACGAAGCAGAACGCGCAGCTCTCCAGGAAGACCGCAAATCAACCCGAACCCCTGAGCTCGCTCGACTGCCGGCAGCCAGTCCAACTTCCAAGTCGGCACTCGCAGAGTAGCCCCCAGCCCCGACGCCTCCAGCCCACTCTAGCCCCTAAACCATACTTGGCTGCTTGCGGTGGGGCACCTGCCTTCTTAACCATGGCTCCTGGCAATGAATGATCTGGGTTCTTACCAGCGCCTCGGCTAAATCGAGCCCACACTTTTCGGGGCTTCATGGTGTGACGCTTCGACAGGGAGAAGTGTTCTTCGCAGTCCAGCAGTCTCTGCAAGCTCCGTCGAAACTCCAAAGAAGCCTGAGCCCATCGGCTTCTTATGCTTTGGTTTTCCTCTCGAAGAACCGAGGCTCGGCCGATGCATTATTCGAGGAAAGTCTTCACGCGTCACGGACCCGTGGCACATGAAGAAGTACTCTGTGAATGCAGGGGGCTGTGGGGGAATTGTGGACTTTAAGTTCATGTCAAGGTCTGTCGAGGTTGTGCGGTCTCGCCCGGCTAGCAAAGGCCTGCGGCAAATATAGCTCCCTCACAAAACTGCATCCCAAGGGGCCAGGCACACGAGGGGACGCGCACACGCATGCAAATTAGGCGATGCATTGGCCTTTTTCAGGCGAGGCTGGTAGTGTTGATGGATGCAGAGATATCCCATTGCTTTCCAAGGAAGCGACATACTTGGAGACGGGCCACTTAGCAACAAAGTAATTGGTGCCTTCGGAGCTTCAGATTCAGATATGTCGAGGCAGCGAGCAATGGGAGAGACCAGACCCGAAATCTTCAAGCTAGAGCTTTCATTGATGGGGCGAGCTGCTGCTTCTGTTTGTGTGCGAGCACCTTGCGAGTATCAAGGTTTTGGCTGATGTGGAATGTAGAACCTGCTTATCATGAACATCTTGTCGCAATGAATAGAATATGCCCCCCCGCAACGCATGAACAGGTCCAGCCGGGCTTTCGGATTGCCAAAGGAGGATCAAAGGCATCGCTTGTAACAGTCTTGTAACTGAGGTGTAGTGGTTGCAATCAAGCAGGACACCTGGCTGCAGCTATTCAGCCGGAGCTCGGCGAACTCGCTACACCTCACCGAACAAGCAGATTTTTCAGCTTGTATAGACGAGCATGTTGAGTCTTCCCGTGAGGTGAACGAAGTCGCTTCGCAAAGTGACAAGGATGCGAACACCGTCAAGGAGAATGGCATAGCGTGCAGACTAAAGACTAGGACCGAGGATTGAGGCCATTGAGATTCCTTCATTAACGGCTGACAGATAGTCATATCGTGACAAAGTAGAAGGAGATGGAGACAGAGATCACCATCCTGCAGATGCTGGACCATCCGAACTTGATCCTCGGTGCTGGTATCTTTTGCAAACCAGCTTTTCGTTGTGGGGGGGAGGGGGACACGACGCAGTCATACATGTTCGTTATGTTGGTGTGAGTTACTGGCAAGAAACCTCGCGGTCTCAAACGCCCCGGGCCAAGGATCAAATACCACACGCACTTCGGGCACCATGGGGACCTCTTCCTCGCTCTGGCCTCAGACTTCTTGTGGAAAGGCTGAGAATCTTCGCAGGCGAGACTTTCCGCCCTGCAAGATTCAAGGTACGTATGGACCTTAACATCCGAATTCGGGGTGGTCTACAGTCATGATTACCTGGTATTGAACTCCGGTGTATTCGTATTCGCTTTGGGTTGGCATTGTCTTGCCACGATTCGTCTAGCTTCTCCGAGCTGTGACGAGCTACATGCTAGGAGCTGTTGACACGAAACGCAAGCTTAGCGAACCCAAAGTCGGCGGAAGGATGAGACTGCATCTCACCCCAAATCGCATCCGATTTGAAGGCTTGGTGCCCGAAGTCCCAGACCGTCACACCGTTTCCGAAGAACACAGCGGGGTCTGTAATATCTCGACAAGAAATTTGTTTTTTCCGCAAACCCCGAATATATGCGTATCTTTGTGAGTGCATATATGCGTAGATATATATATATATATACACATATTCATATATATATATATATATATACATACACACACATACATATATGCATACACACACACACGCGCGTATAAATTCATGTACCTGTATATAAGCACATAGAGATGACTCAAGGTTTTGGCGCAAGGTCCGAAGGCCAGTATCGTGTCGGTGGACATCAACCCGAGCTTCTCGCACCCCTACTTTACTCGTAGCATTCAAACCCGCAAACATCTCGGCCCTAACGATCAAAGATCTGACATTGTAGGTTTTCAGGATCTGAATCTTCGGGTCCCTGATGTTCTGAAGTGCCCAGGTCATGGAGCTAGCTTCAGGCGGGACCTTGGCCAACAAAATTGACCAGGTCAAGGAGTGACTTGCCTGTGACACAAGGCGAATTCCTTTTTGTGTTGCAAGGGTGTTTTAAGGTCAGACGGGTTTAGTTCAGGGTTGAAGGTTGCAAAGGTTGCCTAGGTTTGGGGGGGTAGAAAGTTGTATCATGAGGGTTCAGTGGAGGGTTGGGGGTTTGAGAAGCCCACGAAAGACACTCATTTAAAAAGGATTGATTCTCACTTTGGTGGGCTTATCATGTACGAAGAGCCGTTTCTTTTTTAGAGGCCAGTCTTCAAGTTCAGAAGCTGCTGATCACGGGAGTGTTCCCATGGCCAACGGGAGCGTGAGCTTTTGATGCGTGCAGTGGAGATCCGACATGAGCTTCGCTTTTGTTGCGGAGCTTCTTCAGTCGTCAAAAGTGAGATCCAGTGGGACAGGGGGAACAGGCGGTTGGATTGTGGAGTTTAGGTTTAGGAGTTAGTAAGTAGACTTATAAGTACCCTGAAAGGGACCCTAATTGCAGTTTCGGGGTGGAGGTTTAGGATTTTGGAATTGAGGGCTCAGGATTCCTACCGTCAGAGCTGTGTGGGAGCAGACAGTGCTTGGACCTCGCCTTTTAGAGCCAGGGATTTACCAGTAATGGTAACATTAATAGTAATAGTAATACTGATAGTAATAGTAATGGTAGTAATAATATCAATAATAATAGAATCCACCAGCTGTGCTCATGAACGACTGTCGCCTCATCCACGCGGCCAATTGCTACCATAAAGATTTCCAAACTTGGCAAGGCAAGAGAAGCGAATTGAAGAGCACTTCCTTTGGAGATGGCATCTTGGCAGTGCTTCATGCGCGAATGGGCCGGCAAATGTTTTGCAGCTTGCCGTGCCAACACAATGCGCAGTTTCTTGCATATTGGCCTGACTACGTGTGACATGCGGTGCTCTACAGTTTTTCGATTTGTGGCATATGAAGGTTCTTCAGATCGGAGCGGATCTGACGTTGTGCTTTTGATGCATGCTGCTTCATGCCCCAGCTCATGCACCGCCACAATCTGAGGCTGTGTGATGTCGCAAGCACTTCGCCTGCAAGATTGCACCTGGAGGGGTTGACGTGAAGTCTGGGTTGCCATGCACTCCTGCTTCAAGACCGCAGGTTAGCTCGATTAAGTTAAGTCCCTGTTTCGCGGCATTACCTAACATGCTACATGCCTCCTGCTAGCAGGCAGCATTTTCCGAAGAATCCGTGACCCTCGCAGATTCGAGCGCCCATCTTAGGTGCTCTTGCTTATTTGCATAAGCGCCGTGTGCTCCACCGATGCCCGGCTGAAAGTGGACGTGCATTCCCTGTGTTCAACTCAGGTTTCCTGTGTCTCGCTTTTTGGTGACGATACCAGTACCCTCTGCTGCCCGATGTTTTGCCAATTAAGAACATGGGTTGCTCTCTAGCCAACTAGCCCTTGCCGCATATGAACTTCGAGAAATCATCTAGTGCTTTGTGGAGATGAGAGAATTGGTTTCAAGGAGACATAAAGCCTTCGCACATCTTCATCTTCCAGAATGGCTTGCAGGCGTGTCCCATCCACAGCGCTTGACTAATGAGATTCCGCGGAGAGGGAATTTGGGAAGTCCTGCAATCGAGTGGGTAGCTTCCATCGAGTTCTGAATCCTTGCTCCTGTCTTTCACTGAGGCTCAGCTGTCTTGCATCGGTCACGTCTTCGAATTCTGTGCACGGAACGAGCAGCGATGAGCAGCACATTCCCCAGCAAATTGAATCAATCGAATCCAATAGCCACGAACCCATAAAGCCCTGGTCGCATCACAGCCCTGTGACAGGCCAAGCTGGGCGATTTCGGCCTGTCCAAGGCTTCCGACTCTTACGGTGTGTGGGATTGATCACAGGTGCTTTTAGCTACGGCGGGTGTGTCTCGAGCTCCATAAGCCCTCAGGATCTTCTGAGGCCGAGGTTGTCAGGTCTTCGTCACTTCGTCCAGGCTTTCTCGGACACGACGCAGTGTGCCATGTCCTGCGTGGGCACCCCGTGCAGAGCTCAGAGCCTCAAACTTGAACGCACAAGCGCTGCTTTCACGGATGTAGCTTTTGCGTTGCCCTCCGCATACTGGGTAGGTTATGTACGGGTGGTATATAATATACTTGTAAGGCTTAGGGGTCAAGGCGAGACAAGGCGAGTAGCTTGAGCACTTGTGGTTAACTTGCGGAAATAATGTTAAGGGCAAGGCCTGATGTCTGGACGTGACACAGGCACCGCAGCTCCTCAAATAAGACGACACCGTACTGGGTCTAGTGCAAGTACCGTTCTTCCCCAATGAATCATCGCCTGTGGACATTGATGCCAGCCATGCGAGAGGGAAAAAAAGACGACTCGGTTCGCGACTTGCGTCAGAAAGCGGGGGCTCACGGTTGTCCCTCCGCTTGCAAGCAAACCTAGCTTTGACTGCCTTTAAGGCTGTACATGGCACCAGAAATCGTCCGTGGAGAGCCTTACTCTTACGGACGCGCGGCAGCACAGGTGAGGCCAGACTGATTCCCAGGATCGAAGGCCCGCCTCTAGACAGGTGGCGGAGCCAGGTAAAGCATAGTAAGGGATTCATTGAGTCAGCGTCAGCTGAATCCAGATCCTGCATGTCCCACACCTGACATACACTGTGGCCCAGCCAGCATCGAAAAGGAACCACAGCTTTTCAAGTCGCCGAGGAGACCAACTGGAGACCATGGAGCCCTGAACCGAATCCCAAATCCTCCACCTCCCCAGCTCGCCAATGTCCTAGGCTCAGACATCTGGAGCCTGGGATGTTCGCTCTACGAAATGGCAGCCCTCGTGCAGCCCTTCACGCGCAGTGCCCCTTGGCTTCTAACTTCTATGGGGGCTGGGGGATGGAACTGGTTTGGGCAGCAACATCCCGTCCCCAAGAGTGTGCTTTGACCTTGTTGCCGTAGGTGCTTAGATAAATCTGGCTTTGGCAGATCTCACATCTTCGTAGGCTCAGGCTTTGCGGGCACCTTGGCGACTTGTCAAACACCTGCGGGTAGTCGCTGCAACCACTCCAATTGATCAGCAGTTTTACGTTGTTGTGATGTGAAAATTTTAAAAGCCGTTCATCAAATTGCCACTGTTGTCGTACATGATAACCCACTGGACTATGGGCTTGTTGTGCATCCGAACAAGCCCCTTGAGGTTGCCTAACCATTGTTTCGGCAGCAAGATGGCTCCAGGTGTCTTCCCACCCAGCGGCCCCAGAACTTTTTCACGCAGAAAATCACAGTCTCGACTCCAAAACTCTTCGTCACTAAAGTTCGAGCGTGGACAGCCGACGCCAGGACATGGACTTCGTGGCTCTGGGTCACGCAATCACCAATGCGGAGTACCCCGAGCTGCCACCGGCCGCCCGGATTGGAGAAGGGGGGCTTTGGTCGGATGGAGCCGGAAGCCTGAAGCACCGCACGCCTGTGACAGGGTTTGGAGCTGGTTGATGCACCCCTGGCAGTCTGCAGCATGTGCTTATCGCATGATCTTGTTTCGCGCCCAAGGAAGTTTGGTCCACCGACTTTATCAACATGGTCTCAAAGCGACATGGCGGCATTGCTCGAAGATCTTGGAGTGTAATTTGTGGTGAAATGGCCTTGCCAGAAAACAAAGCCTGAGTGAGACTTTTTGATACATGATTCCCGTATGTTAAAAGCTAAAACGTTAAAGCAACAGGGCTATGCTTCTGCCCCGACCCTCCAGGGCAGCTTTGCTTCAGATCTGGTTTCTGAAAGTATCCAACTCATACCGATCAACTGGCAGCCTGATTCAAAGGGGCAGCAATGGCACCAAAGTCCCACATCGATCGCCACTGATTTGCCAGGATCTTGACGGTGGATCCGCTGCACCGCCCTTCTGCACAGACTGTCCTGGATCTGGCCGCATGCAAGCGGCTCACTGGAAATGTGGCATTCTGGGGTTCTGAAGGATTCCGGGGTTTGGGGCTGGGGCCTCCAGTGTGCAGTGTGGGAGCAGCAAGCACAGCGTCAGTTGCTAGATGTTGCTAGGATCTTCGTGTTTAGGTCTGGAGTCTGGGGCCTAGTTTGCAGAAGAATATTTTATGTTTTTGGGACTTTGTTGTGCCGCACCACGGTCTCTTGCTTTCTGCGCTGCTGTGCCGTGCGATGTAATTACTTCCGACACCTGTCCCCAGATCCTTTAGACTGTCTAAGTTTCCAAATTGGAGACATTAAGGCCGAAGACCTGAGCCTTCTAAGCCGCTGCAGTCTGAACAAATTCTTTACTATTGCTTGGGGAAGTTCATGTGGGGACTCCATTCAAGGAGCCAAACACAGCAACACGGCGACAAGACCGCTTGACCGGGCCCAACATGAGTTTCCGAGACAAGTCCGCACTCCCACCGAGAGCACGCTCAGGCTGGTTTCACGCATTCAGGACTTTCAGATCATTGGCAGCATCGGTCGAGGGCAGCTCCTTGTCCATCCACTTCAGTGTTCTTTTTTGTAAGGCTTCGGGTGATTGAAATGCAGCTCCAAGTTTTCATGCCAGGATACTGTGGAGGAGGTAGATTCTAATTCTTGTCAGAGAATTTCGGAAAGGAATTGCAAGATGGCCCCTACGCCCAGACAGAACCAGCCTCAGGTTCTCGGAAGTCCACCGAGCTCTATGGAAATCCAGTGGGGAACGCGACAATCTCAGCTCTCTAGATCTGCGGCTTTGGGATGCCTTGTGTCCGCTGAGAATTACGCGCTAGTGGGAAAGGGCTCGTATTCTGAAGAGTCTGCTACTGCGTAGCTTTCGGCACCAGAATCCAGGACGAATGTGGAGGTTTTGGAGCTTCGAGCTCAGAGAATGCAGCAGGTGTTATTTACAGGCTGTAATTAGTGCCTTGTACTTGTGGTGTTCAGGTGGTCAGTGCTGAGTGCTGAGGACTCTAAGAGGCCACTTCTGAAGCTGGAGAGTGGACCTGTGGCTGAGGTGAAGTGGCCTTGAAGCGAATCCAGAAGCTTGTCCACTTGGATCGTTTTTGTTTCCTGTGATATACAGGCTTTGGGACCCTATAGGACCGTGGGACCCGTGGGAGTTAGGAGTTTCCTCAGATCTGCAGCTCTTCAGTGCGAGGTGACTTCAGCTTGACACGCCTTTGATGAAAGAAGACCTCTGTTCCGCACCTTCCGTTTCGTGCTTCGAGCGGGGCAGAGCAAGATGACTTCGCTTGATGCAGAAGCCGTAGGTACTGTATACGGCAGCACTCCCTGTTTAGCGTTCACCGTCAGTTTTACGCACACCTTTAGCGCTTCGCGGCTCGAAGACTGGCGACTTGCGACGAGCGCTCTCTTGATTGCTCCTCTCTTTCTTGTGACTAATGAAGTGTCGTTGCGTGGCCAGTGCTGTTGTTGCTGTTGGGGTTGCCTGTCGCATGCTCGCGGCCCAGGGAGCTCTGCGCTGTCCGAGGGTGCTGATCGATTCAGCTCGCATCTGCAAGCATGCTTCTTGCTTCTTTAGGGCTCGCGCATGTTCCCCACCCCTCCACCGAGCATGAAGTATCGCACTTGGTCGACGGCCACGCTTTTTTGTGTGATTACGCAAATGGTGATAAAATGATAAACAGTCAGTTGGCACACTCGCCGACACTCGCCTTCTTGGACGGACAATGTAGGGCTCATGATGTAGGGGTTGCAAATGCGAGAATCCTCAAAGCTTAGGATCTACGAGATGGACGACGATGCCCGGAACGAGGTCTATGCCGAAGCGAAGATGCTCCAGGCCTTTAGGGCGGTTTGGGTTTGATTGCATTGGGTTGTCAGGATTGAGGGCTGGTCTTCATGATTCCCTTGCTTGAGGATCTTGGAGCACGGGGCGGCCGCAGGGCAGGTCCTGATGCCATGAGTCCAGCAATCGATCTGGTGAATCGTTTATCTCGCGACCATGTGGCAGCAAATATAGGTGTGAAGTTTGTCTTAATAAGTGGAGGGCGGCCGGACCGCCAAGGACAAGGAGGTATCATACAAGTTATGCCAAAAGAAAGCCTCATGTTTAAAAGCCCCAGGTTGGCATTTCTAACTTGGCGGCCCGGGCCCGACGGCCTTTAGGTGGTAGTATGGATCACCTGTTTTTATATGAAACCACGCGTCGTCGCTGTATTTCCTTGCTCCTGACGCGTGTAATGTATATGATAGGGTAGCGGCTAACCCGGTTCAATTAGCGTAAACTCTGAAGTGTGCTACATGTTACATGGTTCAAGACGGACCGCTAGGATGATATCCTCGCATCCTACACCCTGAAACCGTTACACCTTGAAAGCTGTACAGGTAAAACCTTGGTAAAACTTAAGAAATTCACACCCCCAAACCGCCCACTGGACCTGTACTCTAAATTACCAGAGCCCCAGCTTATAAGCCAAGAGGAGCTGGCTCACCCGACGATCATCAAGTACTTCGCTTCTTGGCTCAAAGTTTGCCTCGCAACGCTGCAATCGTGGTTCGGGATTTGCAGAGTTTGCATGGCTGAGGTCAGATCCTCATAACCACAAAAACGCCTTGCATCACGTTGAGTTGCGAGAGTCGACAACAACCCCAAAACATGCGGTGCGGCAGATCAAAGTCTTGTTCACCCGGGTCAATGTATAGGGAGAAAGCCTACAGGGCCGTCTTCAGCTCAATTCCATTTTGCGGCGTGAACCCACCAGATGCATCAATGTATGTAGGCTTCGGGAGGCAGTTTGCCTAATCAGTGGGCCGGCAGGTTTGGTTGGTAGGTGGGTAGGCAGGTCTGGATTTGTTTAATACAGTTTTCGGTGCTTGTACTACCCGCCTTTTCTCCCAGCCTCCTTCGAATGTAAGCCTCATTGTCGAGGATTCTTTCACGGAAGAGATGGAGATGGTGACTTGGTGCCAACATGTCTTGAGTTTGCAGCCACTTGGTAGGGCCTGAGGGAGTATTTGGTTGAATTTAGTGAATTTTAGCCCTTGACGGGACCGGCAATCCCAACCTTGCCCACCTGCAGTTGCTTCGCTAAGCATAGAACCTTCTCTCACATCATAGACGACTTGGTCATTCCAGTGCGTTGACTCGCGCGTGAACGTGCGAAGGAGTTTACTTGGCTGCTTGAAGAAAAGTGTGATGGAGCCTCCTGAAGGAAGAACGATGCTGTCGGGTGGTTGCGCTTCATAACTTTTGAGGGCGGCTATTCGCTGCATGTTCGGGCAGTTTGCAGGATGTTGTGCGATGAGTGTGGTGCTTCTTCCGGCAGATGGCTTGATACTGTGAGGGGCACAGCACGGGGAGCTCGACAGAGAATTGCAGCGTTAGTGACGTTTTGCGTTGTGTGCAGCTTGGTGACTCACGGTGATGCCTAAGCAAGCTGGTGCCGTTGGTTCGTACTCTGGCACAGTGCCATGCTTGCTGTATGAGTGATCTGAGATGCTGGAAGCACTTCAGGCGAGTCTCAGTAAGAAAGTCCATCTCCGTACAAAGTAGGTTTCCGTTGGCCTTTATCGTATAATTCATGCCCCGACAAGTTTGTTCTTGGGACGTGGTTCTGCACTGCTTTGTGTGTGTATATATGTACGCAGGCATGTTCGCAAAAGTTTGAACAAACAGCCGAGTTCGACTGATGAGAGCCGCATGCCAGGGAGCAAGACAAGATACAATACGTGTTCATGTGAAACTTAAAGGCATGCGGCATGCGTGAGGTTTTCAGAGCTCCCATGTGGTGCAAGGTTGGCCATAAGATGTGAAATTCGACAGCCCCATCTCATTGAGGTGATCATCCTGGAGTTGGCCGCTCATGGAGACCTGTCGAGTTTGCTAAGCCACATGGCCTATAGTGAACCCCAGAAAGTTGGAACATGGCTTTAGGAGGATTAGTGCTGGGATCCCTTTACTTTACCTTAAGGGCACGAGGACAATGATGTTCCAACTTTCTGGCTTCTACCACACAGCAGTACAGCGTGGCAGAACGGTCGAACGGTTCTGCAGCAACCTCACAGCGGCCCCGTCACCCCCCAAGTGCGGATCCTGGTGAATCTTCCAGCGTGGGCTGGCAAACTAGGGGTGCTGTGCTATGCCTATACCGGGAGAGCACAGGGGAGCATCCATAGCAGCTAGATGGGTTCGGGCGGTCCCTCCTTAGCTTCTCCAAGCTCCCAACACCCCTCTCCCCAGCAGAAATCTGCTTATTCACCATTCAAGCACGATTTCAGAGGCCTCCTGGCCTGCTGACCCGGTCAAACTGAGGCAAAACCAGACATGGCAACCGGATGCTCGAAGAGCACCAGGCTTCGCAAGAGTGGCTGAAGCCTTGAAGCTTTGGGGACGGTAAGCTTCTCGGAACACGGATATGATGAAACACCACAAACCACTCCATACCGCTGCCGCCTAGTCAGGGTCGTACTCAAGGTTGTGGAGGAGGTGCAGGTACAGTGGATGCAAAGACCGCATGCAGGCTCAGGAAACTTGAATCCAGATCGCATTGACATAAGTTCCGCAAGCAGAGCTGGTCTTGGGCTCCTGCGCGGAAGGTTTGGGGCATCTTCTTTCAGATCTGCGATGCGCTGCACCACATGCACCGGCAACCTGAACAGCAATCCCGGAAGTGGAACACAAACTTATAATTAGTACTCGTAGCGCCAGCCTGAAACTAAACTTTACGCCTCTATGACAGACTCCAGACATCACGTGCTGCAGCCCGGGTCAACACGTGGTTTTCGTGCATGAGGAGGCCAATAGTCTTTGTCGTTGTCATACAAAGCTTCGTATGGCTTGTGATTCTCCATTATGACCCAGGGTTTGTATCGAAGGCTGTTTTGCACGATGCATTTCCTGCTACTGTACCAACTTTTGTTGTTGTTTTCTTTCGCTAAATGCCATGCGCTTCTTTTGCCGGTGCGATTGCTTTTAGCTATAGGAGTTCTTCACTCCTCCCGCTTTGGAAGTTGTTCTCCCTTATCATGGCCAGTACTCTTACATAGGATGGTGAACGAATATAACCTGTATAGTTGCTGTAATTATTGCCGTGAACTAATGCCTGTGCTGAAGAGTGTGATTATGTAAGAGTTCGAGTGCTAAAAATGATAGAAGGACAATGTAAACACGAAGAACTGATGACTTTTGTTGTAAACTCAAGCTCCAGCACGGCTTCTGCTAGGCCTTGGGCAATGGTTTAGGAGCTAGTATATTATAGTATATTATGATATATCATAGTATAGATTATAGTAAAGCATATATTATAGTATACTATAGTATATAGTAGTGTTTTTTAGGCGCTCTCTTGGAGGAGTGTCGGCCTGTGCTTCGTTTCATCCAGGGGCGCTTGAGGCTTCGGACTATGTCTTCGATAGGAGAAAAGCAGAACGGAGATTGCTGAAGAGCCAGGGATCCCACATGGTATTATAGTGTTATGGTATTGTAGTATTAGTGTATTATTGTTTTATGGTATTGTGGTATTATATAGTATTATGGTAGTATAGTAATATCATCCCAAACCGCGGAAGCCCAGACTCACAAATCCACAGCCGGCGTTCTAGGCATCGCATTATGCACCGAGATGTGAAGCCGGAGAACACCTTTGTGTGTGACTTTCCGGGAAGCCGTCCCATAGACTTTTTTCTTGGGAGATCGGAGAGAGAAAGTAGAAATATGAAGTTGGGATCGATACTTCAGATGGCACGTGTGTGCTGGGTTCAAGCACTTGCCGAAGTTGAGGGCGCGAGAGCTTGAGCGAAAGGGTTGAGCACACCGATTCTGCCGGCGAGGCGCTTTGCCTTGCCTGCCTAATGCCATCCATTTTCGCTGAGAGCTGTGGTGGGGGAGGCGACAACGATTCGGGTCAAGCGCTTTTTAAGGATGTAAGGTTGTGTGGGATGTTTGGGTCTAGGTGAATACGCATTTGTGAAGTGGTGGCTGGGATGAGCCTTGGTTTCTTGTGAACTCCTTTGCGCTAGGCTTTGGAAGGCTCTTCGACTCTTTGTCACTGTCGTTCTCACAGTGCAGGGGCTGGGGCTTCGCGTAGGTATGTTGCTTCTTTGTAGGCTCTAGGCCGATTCCCTTATGAAGCCGGCTGCTTTAAGATCAGTCGTCGCTGTGCATGCGGCATGGACTCCTTTGCCTGTTGTGCTTTTCGACGGGGCCCAGTGCATTGCAACCTCACACGGTGACAGCTAATTTCTCGCAATGATCATCGGATATTGTATCATGTTGTATCATTGCTGTGTGTCCAGATTGCTCTGGGGTCCCCGGCCTACACAAACGCGCGCGCTGCTGCTCAAGTACGATGTTCGGAGTGTGAGGAAGGGGGGATTGTTGCAGAAACTGCTTCATGCACGCAAAGCACGGATCTTTTGGAGTTTTCTCAAAGCCTCAACTCTGAACGGCCCTTCCAACTGCTTAACACACACCTTCAGACTCCGGGCCTGCCAAGTATTGAGAGCAAATCCAGCAGTTCTTCCGAGGCCAGCATGGTGTCGTCAAGCTTGGGGATTTGGGCTTGGGCGGCTTGCGCGACATTAGCCGGCTCAAAGCTCTAAAGGAAGCCAGATTGAGGCCGCATCGATGGCAGTATTTGCTCCAGCTTGAAATCCAGGATTAGAGTCGTTTCAAGCTATAAGTTCAGAGCCATTTAGATCTTATCAGCTTGAGCTCAATCTTCAGCCGCGGAGCGTTATAGCGCACGATGCTCCGGAGCATTTTCGGCCGGTTTTTGACACGTAGACCATGCCCGAAAGCCTTGCCTAAGGAAGATACTTCAGCTCCAACACCTACAAGGCACACTCTGTGGTCGGTACTCCATTCTACATGTCTCCGGCGATTTGGTTGCAATTTCGCCTTGGTGTTGCGGACTGATTCTAGGGCGTGGGATTCACACGGAGGGTCACAGATGCTGCTGTGACCCTGGCTGCTTTCCATGGACACTTATCAGCTGAGGTGAAGAGACGAATCCCAAGAGACAGTTCGCCCAACCATCACCGGACCCAAAGCCCATAATCTACAACCTATGAGCCCCAGTGTCTACTGTCAACATCCCGAGCCCTCGAAGGCCCAAAAGTGCCTTACAGCCTTACGAGCCCAGGAGGTGATCTCTGTGCCTCGGACGCCGACTACACAAGGGGTAAGGGTTAAAGGAGACTCATGAGTTCATACTTCTCGAAGAACTTCAGAGAGACCTCGTTCAGAAAAAACGGTTTAGGCGCAGAAAGGGAGTTTCAGTCAAAATGGGATCGCAAAGTTTGCCAGAAAGGATCCTTCTTTTGGCACCCCGGGATGTAGGCACCCGCCAGATTCGCGACGACGAGGACCATGATGATTCCAAGATCATGAGTACTGTACCTGCCAGACTAGAATATTGCAGCAATATAGACAAGAACACCAGGAGTAGCAGTAATGATGCTATAAAATGACGGGCAGTGATGAGACGGTTAAAGCAAAAAATCAATCTGTGCACAAATGCATTACGGCACCGTTTTGCTCATAAAACCGGTTGGGCAGCTGCCCCTCACTACCGCTAACATCTGCTAGGGCTGCAAGTATAATGAAATGGTATAACAATAGCAATGATAATAACAATAGTAGTAATAATAATAATAATAATAATAATAATAATAATAATAATAATAATATTAGTGTTCACCCTTCGTGCTGACTAACCGCATGACGGCGCATGTGATCAGAGCCGCATCCTTTCAGGATGCCGGCGGCTATTCCTTCAAGTCTGCCGCTGGGCATCACTTCAGGGCTTTGGGCCCCGTGTTTCGCAAAAGGTCTCAGCTCTGCGTGACAACGGTCTCGGTTGTCTTGACATGCCCCCCATGTTATGTTTTGGCCAGTTCGCTGCAGGATATTTGGAGTATGGGCGTCGTGCTGTACGAGCTGTACACATTGAGAAGCCCTTTCGCCGGCCCTGGCTTGAACTACTACATGCTTGGGCTGAAGACACCCGGACCGTTTCAGAGATGCGTGTGGCTCATAGACACGGGCGCCTAAGTGTCATGTATGCTCAACGAATGTGAGCTTATGAGTCACCGGAAAGGACATAACATTTGAAAACACTCCAGCCGACAACAACGTACTTAGAAGCTCGGGCGGCCACGCTTCTAATCGATCCAGCTCTGACATTTTGACGTTGACGAAGTCTGTCTGTAATGCCTGTTCGTCGTTTAGGAACCTTTTTGGTTCTCACCTATCTTGTTGCTCCGGGCTGTTGCCAGCAGCTCCAAAGTTTGCTTCTGACGGGTTGGCAAGGAGCGGTTACTTGTACCATCCCATCAAATTACGACTCCGCAGCCGTTCCGGCTTCTTATCATGGCCCTCTCGGCCGAGTCCGTAAGTTTGTCTACTTGATCCACATGAGAGAAATCATGACAGCTGGGAGCTTCCTGCTCCTGGCCTTGCTGTCGATCGCTGATGCCTTCGCATTCCAGGACTGCTCTTGCAAAACCTAAATGTGGAGCCTTGCCTGCCTTGTGCGAGAGTGAGCGTCGAAACCCGAAACCCAGCAACCAGACCTCATGAAGCCGTGCCTGCGTTGAGCGAGTGTGCGAGTCGAAACTCGCAAACCCCTACTGTATATGCCAAGCTCAGCGGACTTTGTATCTGAAGCCATGCCTGCCTTGAGCGAGTGTCTGAGTCGAAATGCCAGGTCTCTTGTAATGTAGAGGGTTGAGGGGTAGCGGGACCAAGACTTCGCGGTTTGTCAAAATTGTGCATATGGCTCTTCCTGACAGCCGTATTGCTTTCACCACGTCGGGATCATAGTGAAAACGCTCAGACTTTGGACCTTTTGCTTGCCCTTGGAGGAGGTGTCGGTCGATGCCAACGGCGATGTTCAAGACCTGCCGCTTGCTTCACCCAGCCATACTTGCCACTGTTCCTGTCAACGGTTAGGGTTACGAAGGCTGCACACCGTCCAGACTCTAAGGTCTGCCGCAGCGACGAGCAACTTGCAGACTCAATCGCTGCAAGCAGCAGAATTTTGAGTCAAGCCTGCTTTCGGCGGGCGTAGGTCAACTTTTCCCACGGTCTCGACGAACGGCTTAGTGCCGCCAGGGCCGCCAGCTGTTCTTTTGCATCGTTCTTGTCCGATTTCCGTTCCCTTCCACCCCTTTCAAAGCGAGGTTAATAACAGTGAATAACATTGCATTTTGAGCAACGCTTTGGCATTGTGAACTTATGCACGCTCATCTTCCGTCATTTCTGGACTCTGCAAACCTTGAGGTCAAAAGCAGACAGGTAGGGCCGAAAGTGTGGCAATGGTCAGTTTTGGAGATTCTGGCTAATTCGAGCTGCTCACCATCTTGTCCTTACTGGCACTAGTACTATTGCTGGTATCCTCATCTTTGCAAGCCCAAACACAGAAGCCACTCTCATGTGGAAGGAAGGCCAACAATCCAAATCCTGCTTCGCAGACTCGTCCTGCCGGTTGGCTGTCCGAATCCACACCCTTGGCCCAAGCTTTTGAGCCCTAGGCAAACCTTGAACCCTTCATCCTGACTCGACATGACTGCACATCGCCACCTAGGATGACGGAGCGGCGAGCACAAAAGCAGCAGGCCAGAGAGGCGCTCCTGCGTGCCGAATTACCGAAGTGTCCCGTGAGCGAGTACATCCCCGTTGGGAACGACTGCACATGTGAGTCGGCGCCTCGTCGTTCAATTTAGTGCTCCGGAGGCTTATTGTGGTTCTTAAGCCGGGCGGAAAAGTGGTCTCGAGAGCCTCAGGGGTGCGACCGGAGCATTTCTTGGAGCAACATGCTCCTTCACAGTTGGGATGCACGCATGCATGCATGCATGCATGCATGCAGAGAGGTTTGTATGTATGTATGCAATGTGGTTTTTTAGACACAGGTGTATGCAGACACATGCTTGTACTTCTGAAGCGTGTTCGCTTGCTTAGCTGTTGCTGGCTTTCTTACTTCATTGGCTCGTCTAGATGCACACGATCGGCGGCGCCATCATTACCAGCTACCTACCTGTTAATGCTCCTGCCGCGGCGGGGGTGGTCATAGTAGAGGTGGTGGCAGCTCTTTGTGGCGGCAATTGTTGCAATACAAGCAAACCTAGGCAAAACACGTCCGGTCATGAGTTCTTATCCCCGTTTACGAGAGAGAGACCCTTTGTTGAGTTCACCCACATCTGTCCGCGCAAACACCTGAACCCAACTTTTGGGGGTCAGTCAGGGCTTGAGGGTTCGGGGCTTCGGATTCGGCTTGGTTGCAGATTCCGGATGCAGTTCTATAGCTTTCGGATCCGTCTTGGACCAGGATGAACAACACTCAATCAGCCGTCGTCATATAGGTCCGCTTCACGAAAGCTGTGCCGAGGTTGTGATTGCGCCCGTGTCGTTGTTTTCTTAGTACTGCTCGTGCTTCTAGTACTGATATTAGCGCCTTCACTTCTGCGCCAGACTTTATCTCCCTGGCTTGCCTGCCTCTACCTCGAGAGTTCTGCGCAGAGGAACGTCGTGAACTCTGAGCCGTGAAAAAGAGAGCAAAGCTCAGGAGACTTGCAAGAAGGACCAGTTCTGCTATTCTCCGGACGATGGCAAGGACAAGTGCTTAGATGAACAGAAGACGGATCCGTACCTCATCGATGTGTTCCTTGTCTGTGCTGGCTTCATCAAGTTCAGGGCTTGGTATCTCTTTGGTAGTGGGCGTGCTGGTGTGGTTTCAGGACGTTGGTCGTGGGTTAGCAGCTGTTGTGGTGTCACAGACTCATCTTGATTTGCCAGCCTGTTCAGCCATATAAACCCTCACGCGACCGAAAGTCTTGTGTCGCAGGCATGGCTTCACAAAGAATCTGGGTCCCTCATCGCAGAGGAACGGGGCCATCGGAGGTCGCAAGTTCACCTTCACGAAGATGCTTGGTGTGTACACTTTTTTGATTTGTATTTTGTCGGCTTGCCCTTCCATACGGTGTATTTGCTACAGGTGTTGCTGCCGATGTTGACGATAATGCTTTACTCAGTTTTTTTGAGTGTGGTGGTAGTGCTGCAGCTGGTGGTGGCGGCGGTGGGTGTGTCAGTGGTGACACTGGTGTCAGAGTGGCAGTGGTGTCGGTGGTGATGGTGGTGGTGGCCGTTGTGGTTGCCGTTGCGGCCGCGATCGCGGCTGCGGTTGCGGTTGCTGCTGTTGTTGCTGTTGCTGCTGTTGTTGCTGTCGTGATGGTGGTGGCGATGGTAGTACCTTGGTAGCAGTGGCAGTTGTTAACTGGTAATTAGTGGCTGTATGACGAAGGCACCTTTTTCCTTCGGTGCTAGCCATCCGGTCAAGGAAGAAGGACGACTCCCTCCTGCGGATTTTGTACACAGATACTTTTCGCGTTATATGCCTCCTCGGCTGCAAACGGGCTCTCCAGGTGAATGTCTGTCCACGTGCTGTTGTCAGGGGCTCCAAGCACTATTGTAGTGGCCTGAGCGCTCAATATGTTTTATGTGGTCAATATCCTTTGTTTAGAAGTGGTGTGAGGCCTTTGCTTGGTCCTGGCAGCCTTGATGGGTGCGACTCTGCATTCGCACTCCCCACTCCTTGTGCCATCTCCAGCCCTACGTAGCATGCCCCGTGCTACTGAGAGCCAGTATCTCAGTAATTCACTACCGGGCAACCCTGTGACCGCACAAACGTCGTAAGCAGCAGAATGTGATGCAGAGGATGCCAAACCCCAAGGTCACCACAACAAATACCATGGACGCTGGATCGATGGCTGTGCTGCCCGATGGGAGATCAAGATAGATGGAAAGTCCTGCCCAAGCGGGGGTATATACCAGGACTGGCACCCACGGCAGCAAAGGGAATGTCCTCGTTTAGACTTGACTAGACGAGAGGTCGAGGTTCGACTTTCTGATTGACGAGAAGGCATAGCCACAGGGCCTCGCGTATCAGCTGCAGTATTGGAAGCGGTCAGACTGCGCAAAAGCGACAGTCTGCAGACTCGGTGTTTGAAAGTCGTGAAGGCAGCTTCAACGGCACGATTGGCAGTGCCAAACAATCTGGCCCATTACGAAGAACAGGTTCAGCATTTAAGCAGGCTCAATGTTGCAAGGACCCTCTGCTGCGTGCCACGAGTTTCGGGTACATAGATGCTTGAAGACGTGAGCTTGGCTAGTGTTGGGCTCAGGCACGCCGCAGTCCTTTCAATCGAGAAACCGAAGCCTGCAGAAAACTATTCGGGATGTTGCTGCCTGTTGCGTGCATACATGGAATACCGGTAATGACTTCGCTATGGGTTACAACGGATGCACCGTCATGACCGAATACCGGCCAATCCTAAGGATTGCCTGTATTTTTCGCTGGGTTCAGTTCGGAAGAATTGGTTTGATTTGCTGTTCCTTGCAATGCTGTCACAGAACAGCCGCGAAGGTACGTCCATCGGTTTCAAGATCCACATCGCACACAGTCTTTCGGGGGCGTGTGCAAGGGGGTCAGCGAAGGCAAGCACACGGTGGAGGCGCCTGCACTAAGAGAGACTAGATGTTTGAGCTTGCAGCTTTCGGACGGATCCCTTCGACCTTGAAGGTGTTCGTTTACAAGACTCCGTGGCATCACCGGTGGAACATCTATTATCCCTACACGGGCTGGCACGCTGGGCATGGGACCCCGCATCGTGGCTGAAGCTTGATGGGTTCAGGGCATTATCGATAGGTGTGGCTGTTGTGGCTCTCGAGTCGTTGCGGCTGTATGACCGAAGCATCCGCCGCACGCCTGGACGGCCTACATAAGTACCTATACTGTTGTGGCGGATCCTTGTTATAGTTTTAGTAAACTCTGCCCCCAAACACTATTCTAATTATTAAGGCCCTATATTTATAGTATACTATGTCCCAAAACCCTATTCTAATCATTAAGACCCTACATTTCTAGTATACTAGTCCCCAAAACCCTATTCTAATCATTAAGACCCCTGTATTATGGACTGACTGAAGGCGTGCGACGGTGCACATGGAGGTCCAGGAGATCCCTGAGTCGTACCCGCTCTTTCACTACGCGACGGGCACGCAGATGGACGGCAGAGTCCCTGGGTCTTACTTGTAGATCATGAGACACGTTCAACTGCTAATAATGGTCGAAGCAATTTCGGACTCAAAGGGTGCTTTTTTGGCTTCTGGTTCTTGTACATTGTAGATCCTCAGCACCATTTCTTGGCACGCCCTGAAGTTGTATATGGCTTACGCAGGCTCGGAGGCCCAAAGTTCGGTTTGCGGGACGCGAAAGCATCGCTGGACCTTCCAGGCTTCCCATGGCCGGCGGTGTCTTGTGCAGTGCTTTGCACAGGGTTTGCCATTAGCGCCTGTATATACTTAGCACGACCATAGTGATCGGGGACACTTGAACGGCATACGCCGCCGTATGAGCCGGCCACGGACCCTGGAACCTGAAACGCATTGGGCTGGAAGTCAAGTTAGACTAGCAAAAAAGACAGACGCTCGTACCGGCAGCACCTTTCGAGACGTGCAATGAACAATTCCCAGGATTCTGGCATGATCAATGCGCGCGTTATCTCGTTCAAAAAACTTTACGACGACAGCAACGTGCGCCACCTGGCTGCATATACTCGCTGAAGCAAGGCACGAAACTCCTCGCCCCAATGCAAAATGAACAAGCTAGGCTATTAAGGCGCTCTATAGGGCTGGTGTGGTGAGTGCTGCAGCTCGATGGGGTATCGAGTCAGCAGAGCAGAGCAAGATTTCCGGTGCTCCGACAACTGCAGGTGACGTGAGCCCCGAGTTTTCTTGTTTGCGCCGAGGCTTGTGGTATGTTGACAACCATCGCGTTATGCAGCACAATGGTCATCATGGGGCTGGCGCATGTCGGTGGGAAATTAGAATCGATGGGCAGTCATGTCCGTCCGGAACGATCCTTGGAGACTCGGGTGCAAAGTACCATGTTCCCTTTTGTTGTTGATGGCCGTTTCTCTTTACCGGCATGAGCATACTAGACACACAGAATCGTGTCAATCTCTTGCCTGACCCCCTGGACTCAGGAGATTTGTACATCCACAGGCACGCAACTCGACTTTTATTCTGAGCTGTTGGATTCTGGACCGGATGTGCTGGTTGGTGGGTCTCGTTTGGACAGTGTGTTCTACTCAGGAGAACCCACATCGGCCAAAAAGCATGGTCGGATACTGCAACGGGCTCGAAGCAGGCGATCACAAGGTCGGAGTCTGGCAGTTTCCACGACCCTCCAGGAGTAACTGCAGTCGTAGAGTCTGGCATGCGAAAGACCAGGTGGTCTAAAGATCTTCCCTGGCATGCCCGAAGTACTAGTATAAGTAATAATAGTAATATTAGCAATTATAGTAGTAAATGTAAGAATAGTAACAATAGTAATAATAGTAAGTGTCAAAACTTTGGGCGGGTTTCCATGTCGCTCGGTGCCCACAGCTGCAGTGATATGGAAAAGCTCACACCAACGTGATCACTCATTGTACTCTTCTTCTTGCTATTAAGTCATGGTTCTTATAAGTCCGCAGTAGGCAGTAGTATGATAGTGTTTTCAGTTCTACGAGTTACGGATCGCAGAATCCTGCAAGCGACAGTCAGCGAGCAAGTAGACATTACCAAGTGCACGCTGTGCCATTGCAGAAACTTTCTGTTCCTGTACAGGTACAGAGTTTTGCTGTTTTTGACTTTTGGTATCTTTGCACGAAGACAGCGCGGAGTACATTGACCCTGCTAATCCTGGTGGATGATGGTGGTGAACAAGAAGAGGGTGATGTTGCAGACAATGATGCTGTTGATGATGCTGATGGTGTTCATGTCAGTGTTGGTGGTCGCGGCGATTGTTGGCACTTTGCGCTGTTTGGCATCTTGCTTATCGCAGTCGCAAGTGAGAGGTGGAGGTTCACGTGTCCACAACGCCAGGACGGGCTGTGGTGATGCTGTCAGATCAGTGCGAGTAGTGAGTGCTTCTTGATGGTAATTCTGCCTGGCACGTTGGCATGTTTCCAAAGTTCAGCTACCCTCAACTGAAAGAAGCCCCCTGCGAGGATTGCATCGCAGCGATTGCTTCACCGGGTGGCACAGTGCTCGCTGGATCCTCGAAGCAGAGGAGATCCCGAAGCTATACGACATGGAATCTGGGCACACCGTTGCTAGGTGGGCGGGGTTCAGGTAGATCTGTAGCCCACAGGAATGGGGCAATCTTCCAGTGACAAAACGGCTTCAACTTAACCCAGTGATGTGTTCGTCGCACAGAGCTGCTGTGAACAAGTGGTGATCGGTTGTGCATCTGGCCGTGCCCCTGAGCCCTAAATCTTGCACTGGCCACTCTGAAACATGAATGCTGTTAAATTTGGCCAGACTTTGCTTCGGCATCCGAGGTACACTACAACATGCAGCACCAGACGGATCACAGAGAGCACGGTATCTTGAACAACTACAAAGTTACCTTCCAAAAGACCTTCGGCAGCAGTAGTGCCGGTCAACAGTCTGGCAAGCCTGGTTGACTACGCCCTGTGAAACCTCCTCTGGCTTGTCCGAGTTGCGAGAGTGTCCTTGCTGAAAACCGCCTCGTACTACCACCTCCTATACTTACTGTACTTACTATGCCTCCCGCCGCTGCTAACACTACTGCTGCTGCTGCTGCTGTTACTGCTACTGCTACCACTCCTCCTCCTCCTCCTTCTACTACTACTACTACTACTCCTGCTACTACTACTACTACTACTACTACTACTACTACTGCTACTACTACTCCTGCTACTACTACTACTACTACTACTCCTGCTACTACTACTACTACTACAACTACTACTGCTACTACTATTAGTAGCCACCCCCCCCCCTACCTCCCACCAACCACCTGGCACCTTAACCCATCATCATCATCATCAACGAAAATGGCAGTTGCAGAAGATGAAGGGGCTCAGGCCCCCTATCTGTGATAGCTGCAGAAGTTGCCGAGGCTCACTTGCCTTAAATGTCCAAGATGCAAGGGCTCAGGCTCCTAATCTGTGACAGCTGCAGAAGTTGCCTTTGCTCATTTGCCTTAACTGTCACAGCCGGTGAAGTTGCAGAGGCTCAGGCGTCAAAACTGCAACAGCAACTGGAGTTGCAAACGGGACGGGGAAGAAGCTGCCAAAACACAGGTGGTCGGATAGTACGAAAACGCGGTAAGTATCGTGCAAAACGCAGGTGCTGCCAAGAAGCTTTAAACACTCATAAAACCTGAAGCGCAACATCTTCTAAACATCCAAAACAAAGATGCCATCTGTACGCGGAAGGGGCTCGCCAAAACCCTTAAAGCCCAGACCTCGGCGTAGGAGGATTTGCTTTTGAAGTGGTGTGTGGTGCTCGAGGCACCTGTACCGGCCCAACCCCCCCTAACCCCCCCCCCCAACCCCCTAACCCCCCCACGGTGCTAAAGAACTGTGGTTCTATGACTACGACATGACCAAAGTGCTTTAAATGTCGAGCAAATAAATCTTCCGCCCAACCAATGTCGAGTTCTCGCCGAAAGCCCTCGCAAAGCCCAATGTCGAGTTCGCAAATTCCACGGGTACGTTTGTTGACTATACAATAAGACGGTCCGACATCACGCAAGTACCGTAAAAACCGAGTAAAGCGGCTCTTCTGGAGATGTTGTGAGGGGTGTCTGCGTAACTATGTCGTAACCATCCCCCGCCTCCCCCACTCCTCCCCCCAAAATGCAAGTCCAGAATCCGAAACTCGAGCTTGCAAACTCACAAGTGAATTTTGAAGCTTCATAAGAGGTTCCTACATGACGAAAGTAGGGTAAATGCAGCGTAACACGGATGTGCGCGAGAAGAGTCTACTCCTACTACTACTACTACTACTGCTACTGCTACTACTACTACTACTACTACTACTACTACTTCTACTTCTACTTCTACTACTACTACTACTACTACTACTACTACTGCTACTGCTACTGCTACTGCTACTGCTACTGCTACTGCTACTGCTACTGCTACTACTACTACTACTACTACTACTACTACTACTACTACTACTACTACTACTACTACTACTACTACTACTACTACTACTACTACTACTACTACTACTACTACTACTACTACTACTACTACTACTACTACTACTACTACTACTACTACTACTACTACTACTACTACTACTACTACTACTATACTACTACTACTACTACTACTACTACTACTACTACTACTACTACTACTACTACTACTACTACTACTACTACTACTGTACTCCTACTACTACTGCTACCATTACTACTACTGCTACTACTACTACTACTACAACTACTACTGCTACTGCTACCGCTACTGCTACAGCTACTACGACGACGACTACGACTACGACTACGACGACGACGACTACTACTACCACCACTACCACCTCTACTGCTCCTGCTACTGCCAGTGCGACTGCCACTTCTACTGCTACTGCGATCGCTGGAGCAGTTAATGGGAACAGGCTCTCCGTCGCGGGAACCTGTAACAGGAACGAGGGCCCACTCCGCAACAGAAACATCCGGCTCCTGTAACAACCACTGGAACGGTCTCGTAACAGGAACCACGGGACAGGCACCGGGACTTACCTTCATGTTCCGCATGTCGTTCCGTTTTCAGGTCCCGACTTACAGGGCGTCAGACCTACGATTCCAGCATGCCTTTCAGACAGCTAGCAGGAATTTTGCGACGAGGACTGCTGTGGGCGCATTAGCTGAGCGTCTAATTCTAGAGCAGTATAAATTTCGCCAAAGGCCGGTGCCGCTCCCATGACTGTTTGCGGTTTGCGGCTCGGTTTGCGGCTGTGTTTACGGATCATGTGGGCTGCTAAATTTCACGGGTCGGGGGGGTTTGGTCGGAAAAAAAATTATAACTTTGTTGGTTGTTGGTCTTGGTTGTTTTTCTTTTGTTTGGGCCTTGGGGCTCGGGGGGATAATTTCAAGCAGGCCTTGCGTTTTAGATTTGTTTGCCATACATCGGAACCTCCCCGCTGTGCACATATGGCATGTAACTCGTCATGTAGGGTACAATGTAGGGTCGATCTACATCACAGGATAAGAATAACGATTTGTATCTACCCTGAATTTGCATTGCCCCATCACGATTATTGAGCTTTCTGCTTGTGATGAATTCACACACTCTTGTTGGAGCCGCGAAATTTGGGCCTAGAACCTAGAAGAAGCAGTGGGAGGGACAGAGCCGGGATGACCGAGTGGGCCGGGCCGGGGTGGCGGGCGAAGATTGACTGACTGATGGACAAAACACTAAACCCCTAAACCCCGCCACCTGTAAATCCTAAACTTCTCAGGTGCGTAGCCGTACACTCGGTGAATCAATGTTCTCTTGAACGTGCTTTGCAGTCTTGAGACATGCCTGACAGGTTTCCTTTATGTCGTTTCAGTTGGCAAAACCAAAGCTTGTGTGTTCTTATGCCGATGTCTAACATTTACTAGCATGAAATCAGACAAGTGAAGTGAAGCCGCCGCATTTAAGCATTTAAGCAAGCGCAGAACTAAACAGGATTCTCTTTTAGTACGGGCTATCGAACAGGGATCAGCTTGGGTTGGAAACCGGTATCGCCGGAAATGTGATACCACAGGGGAAACTGGCTTGGGGCAGCCAAGCGTTCATAGCAACGTTGAGATTTGATCCATCCATGTCGGCTTTGCCTATCCTTAATATCGAGATCATCGAGATGCAGAAGTCCCAAAGAGTCGGGACCCCGGCTCCTTCAGTCGTGCATCATACGATACGATATCATACAATACAATAAAAAGTAATACAATATAATGTAATATAAGGTACTATGATATAATATAATGTAATATAATGTAATATAACGTAAGATAAGATAGGATAAGATAAGATAATATAACACATAATACAATATAATATGATATAAAATAAAGTAGAATAAAATATAATATATCGTAGCATAACCTGTTATAATATAGTATAACACATTATGACTTAACATAATATGACATAGCATATTATAACATAATACAATAGAACAAAATGACAAAAGAAAAAGGGGCGAGAGAGATTGAGCTAGATTTACTAACATAGCATATTATGATATAATACAATAGAACAAAATGATAAAATAAAAGGGGGCGAGAGAGATTGAGCTAGATTTACTAATTTAATACAAGAAACGATTGATCGAACCAGAGATGCTTAACAGCAGCACGTCGTAATCAGGACAGCAAAAACAAAGAAGATTACAAAACGAACGTCCCAATCAGAAGGACTCGATAACATATCGGTATCATTCCGTCACCGAAGCCAAGGCAAAATTTTCGAGGCTGCCGATGGCCTATAGCATCCTCGAGGGCCAGATTTTTCCCAATGATAACGGGTAGCCCCCCCCAGCGGTAGCTCTCGCCAATTTTCTAGTGCGAGTGGGATGCCAGGTTTTTCCCAATGATAAAGGGGTAGCCCCCCAGCGGTAGCTCTCGCCAATTTTTTACTGCGAGTGGGATGCCAGATTGTTCCCAACGCTAAAGGGGTAGCCCTCCAGCAGTAGCTCTCGCCAATTTGTTGCTGCGAGTGGGATGCCAGATTTTCTAAACTTTTGCAAACCAACAATTGTACATTTTGCACACCAAAAATTGTTCGTTTTTCAGGCAAACCAAAAATTATACTTTTCTTTCGCTTAAACCAAATTTTATATTTTTCTCGCAAAACAAAACTTGTAATTTTGTTTCTCGCAAACCAAAACTTATTTTTTTTGGCGTGCAAACCAGAAAAAAAGTTCTTTCGCGCAAACCAAAAACTTGTAATTTTTTTTTGCGCAAACCAAAGATTTTTATTTTTTTCGTGCAAAACAATAACTATAATTTTTTCGCGCAAACCAAAAAGTACATTTTGTCGCGCAAACCAAGCACTAGAACTTTTTTCGGGCAGCCCAAAAAATATACAAAACAATTTCGCGCAAACCCAAAATCATATTTTTTCGCGCAAACCAACAATTATAAATTTTTTTCGCGCAAACCAAAAATTATAAATTTTTTTCGCGCAAACCAAAAGTTATAAATTTTTTTTATTTCAAACCCTAATTATAAATTAAATTTATAATTAGGTTCCAAAAAACGCACGCGGCAGATTCAGGTTTTTTGAAGGCCAAACCTTGAAAAAAACCTGAGTCGCAAGCGTGTGTTTTAAAATACGCACGCGGGCGACTCAGGTTTTTTTCAAGGTTTGGCCTTCAAAAAACCTGAATCTGCCGCGTGCGTTTTTTGGAACCTAATTATAAATTTAATTTATAATTAGGGTTTGAAATAAAAAAAATTTATAAGTTTTTGGTTTGCGCGAAAAAAACTTATAATTTTTGGTTTGCGCGAAAAAATTTATAATTGTTGGTTTGCGCGAAAAAAAATTAATTTTGGGTTTGCGCGATTTTTTTTAAATATCTTTTGGGTTGCGCGAAAAAAGTTCTAGTGCTTGGTTTGCGCGACAAAATGTACTTTTTGGTTTGCGCGAAAAAAATATAGTTTTTGTTTTGCACGAAAAAGAATAAAAATCTTTGGTTTGCGCAAAAAAAATATAAGTTTTTGGTTTGCGTTTGCGCGAAAAAAAGCTTTAAATTGTTGGTTTGCACGCCAAAAAAAGTTAAGTTTTGGTTTGCGAGAAACAAAAAATATGAGTTTTGGTTTGCGAGAAAAAGTGAATAATTTTGGTTTGCGCAAAAAACTTGGTTGGCACGGAAAATATAATTTATGGTTTGCATGAAAAAAGTATTATTTTTGCTTTGCACGAAAGAAAATTATAGTTTTTGGTTTGCACGAAAATTGTTTTGGTTCGCGAGGAAAAAAGAGCAATTTTTGTTGTGCAAAATATATATAGTTTTTGGTTTGCAGAAAATCTGGCATCCCACTCGCAGTAACAAATTGGCGAAAGCTACCGCTGGAGGGCTACCCCTTTAGCGTTGGGAACAATCTGGCATCCTACTCGCAGAAAAAATTGGCGAGAGCTACCGCTGGAGGGCTACCCCTTTGTCAATTGCAAAATTCTGGCATCCCACTCGCGGTAGAAACTTGGCGAGAGCTACCGCTGGGGGGCTACCCCTCTATCATTTGGAAAAATCTGGCATTCCAGTGGCAGTAAACAATTGGCGAGAGTTACCGCTGGGGGGCTACCCCTCTATCATTCGGAAAATCTGGCATCAAACTCGCAGCAAAAAGCTGGCGAGAGCTACGCCGGGGGGTTACCCCTCTATCATTGGGAAAATCTCGCATCCCATTCGCAGTATACAGTTGGCGAAAGCTAATGCAGGGGGGGCTATTTTCTACCATTGGGGAAATTTGGCATCCCACTCGCAGTAAAATATTTGGCGAGAACTACAGCTGGGGGGCTACCCCTTTGTCAATGTCCAAGGAAAAATGCAGACATGTTGTTTTGTACCCCCTTTGCAACTTTGGTTATGATGGTGGTGTGGCGGTGATTGGACGAAGTGGCAGCGCTGCCAGGTGTATTGATGAAGCCCAAAACCCAAAAGCTGTAGATGCCTTGACGAAGCCTTAATAACCGCAAACCAAAACAAACCTACAACATCGCACAACCCCAATTCCTAAAACCTTGAGAGAAAAACAAACACCTAAAAAGCTCGAAGCCCTAAACCCCCAAGCAACCCTAAACCTGAGACTTGAGAGCCCTAAACCCTAAACTACGGCTCAAGCCCGGCTCACGCGGTTTGAAATTCAAGCTGGCTCGAATGTAAGCTACGCCTCAAACGGCTCAAGCTCTGACACGAAACCGGTGAAATCATCCGTAAGACCACAAAAGTTTCCAGACCCTCCCAGACGACACGTGCCACAAGCTTGTAAACCTTGGCGGCCGGAGGGTGGACAAAATACAGCCGTTCAAAAACGAATACATCCATCCGTTCGATCATCAGGGTCTGCGAAAGTTTTTAGCGGCTCACCCTGTTCCAGCCTAGTTGCTGCCCACATGCCTTGTGGGACTATACAGTTCGATCCCTGCAATGAAGCCTCGAACTTTCTGAACCCAAGTGTCCTGCGGAATGGCTGAATCCTGAACACTGCCCTCGGGCCGGGGCTGAGCGTCTGAAAGTGTCCGATTGCGGTTTATCATCAACTCCTTGTATGTCTTGTGGTATGGCAAGGAAACTCTACCAAACGAGATCTGGGTGCAGTTTGCCGTTCCAGCCGCTCCAGCCTTGAAGGCTCCACACCATAGATCACTAAAAAAAAATTGGTGGACAAGGCCCAAAAGTTATAATTTTTTTTTAAACTGAACTTCCCAATAGAAACCCAGACCCGTGAAATTTAGCAATGTGGGCCATGATCATTCAGTAGTCCGGAACAGTAAAGCAAGGGCGTAGAAGGTTTTGAAGGCGCCAGCACTACGGCTACTGCCACTGCCTACTGCTACTGCTACAGATTCTGCTAACCACAACAGCAACAAAAACCTTCAGTACTGCTATTTCCATGCTATATCCCAAACCGTAAACTCTGTTGATATAACTATGTTGCTTGATCCTAGCATGACTATCCCGTTAGAATGTCTCACTTTGTCAGACTCCGAATCATATGCCTCGCGTGGATTGTCCGAGTGTGAGCGCCGAAACTCTAGATGCCGTGAATAAAAAGTTGCGCGAGCATACGGCTTCAATGGATGTAAGGTGCGGGCGAAATTGGTCCCCTACACAAGACCTCCAACAAAGCTTCGCCTAATTGTTGTCCAGCCGTAGTTTCTGTTATGCTCGGGTGGCGGTTCCTGTTTCTAGGGGCGACAGTTTCCGGTACTACTGCTACAACTCCTCCTGCTGCTGCTACGGCTAATTACCCCTACTAAACTGCTACCATTCATGCTTCTGCTACTGCTGCTGCTGGTGAGTTGTGAGTGCAACTGTCACGACCGACGGGTACGACTGCTGTCACGGCCGCTACTGCCCTTTGCCCTATTTGTTACCCGGCCCCTTCCAATAGTTTCATTCCCCGTATTGGTTTCGAGCCTTTTCCGGACTGGGTTTGTTCCCAATCCGACAAGAAGAGGGGCACAAATCCAAACCCCACAGAGAGTTCGAGCTTTCTTGGTCTGCGTGACCTCAGTTCGAGCCTTTGAAATCCTGTAATGGCACCCTCTCTTGAAGCTCTGGAGTGCTGGAGTATCTAAGGAAGTATGACGAGACCCGGCTCCGGCTGCTTTTCATGGCCACTCGGTGAAGGGTTACGTGTTTGGTCCGTCGTCGTCGCTCGGTGTCTCCTCATCACCACCAGCAGCCATGTTTCCGCCACGGCTTCGATTGAGAATTCCACAAAGAGCGGCATCACCAGGAGCATGTTCGTTACCATCATTCCCAAAATCATGTTGAATACGATGCCTCAACTTTCAACTTCTTAAGGCTCTGAGGTGCACCCCTATTTCCAGCAGCACTATCGTCATCGCCACAGATGTCCATAACAGATAGCCTCATCTCAGCATTCGTGTTTCAAGATGCCAGAGAAACGGGTCAAGGTAAGCTCAAGAAGAACCATGGCAACAACGACAGCACGACAACCACCCCAAGCAACACAGAATCACGAGCACCACTTCCAAGCATCGAGATCAACCGTAACTTAGTAACATTAGGATTCGGCCATGTCCTACACCTCTGCGTCCTTATCATCTCGTTGTGGTCATGCTTGTGCTTCGTACTATTTGCAAAAAGCCTAGCTAGACATAGTTGGTATGTTGCCCATGTGCATAAAGCAACGATCGACAAGAGACTATAGACTACAGAGTGTATTGCTGGAACTCAATCATCAACTCAGTTTTGGAAGCATGGCATCCCCACAACCCCCCCCCCCCTCGAGGCTTTTGTGCTGTGCAAACACATCTATGACTATGGGTCGATTTGGTCAGGTTGGTACCTCATAGGGAACTCTTGTTTGGAACAGCCAGATGTAACAATGTAAGTCTGATCCCAAATGGTTTTCAGCCGAGGAGAATCTGCGAGCTTACAGCCGAAACCTGCATGCGAACCATGCCCACGGCCGGACTTGCTCCGGGGACTGGGAGCCTTCCATGCAAGCAGACCTCAGCAGAGCCAAGATCGTAGAGCTTTGCGCACTCGACTTGAGTGAAATTTCGATTGCATCGTGCAGGAGAGCATGTGGCCTCTGCCAGACGTACAGCGCAGGCTTGATCAGCTAAGCAATCGAAACACATTCCTGGGCTCCTACAATTGACCACTACGTGCCGGCTGCGAAACCAAACACGTGCTCTCGGCTTAACCGCCACACGTTCCTCACTCTGCGGCCCATGCTCTTTGAACGCAAAAGCTGATCGTCGGCATAGTTTGCCGATGACAAAGTCGGTGCGCAACCGCCGCCCCGAAGCCGCTCGCAGTTTCCCACGGGCAAAACCCCCACGTTCACGTGTAGACTGCTCGGGCTGTGCGAGCCTTCTCAGGAGATCTTCATCGACGGCAAAGCATGCGCGTCCGTGCGCATCCATGCGCAGATGTACTCTCGACGCCGCTCGCGTGGGTTTCAAAGCGGGTTCTTACGTCAGAGGCCCCCATCAGGCAGAATATCTTGTTCAGCAATCGGTTTGTTTGTACAAGCCTGAACTACATGATTGCATCAGATAGAAAATTTAACGTAGATGGATAGAGAGGTAGGCAGATAGCTAGGCAAGTAAAAAGGTAGATCGGTAGATTGATAGATACAGAATACTAGCTAGCTCGCTGAATAGATGAGTGAATCAACAAATAAGTGTCATGCGGGGATTGAGTCCACAGAGGCCTTCGAATGAATTATTTGCAAGTGTAAGTTTATGTTTGGGCCTTTATCCAGGAGGGCTTTCAGCTGAAGTCTGTAACGGCACATGCCATTGTCCGAGCTATCCCGAGCTGATGTGAATTGATAAGACATAGTTCCAGCATATCGTTCTCATCAAGTAGTTACAACAGTAGTCAAAATTCTATTCAGATCTCGTTCTGATCAGAGCGTTACTGCTATTGGTGTTCTTTGTGTCGGCACATGCGCCAGCACAGTCATAAAGAATACATGCATCCATACACACGTGCGTACTTTGGTACATACGCACGCAAGCATACGCGCATACATACGTACATGCATACATACATACATGGATACACGTACATACGTACATACATGCATACATCGAGATTTACATGAACGCATACACGGCCTGTTTGATTGCTTGCATGCTTGCTTGGATGTACGTGAAACATACGCACGTACACGGGAAAATGCCTGTCCACATCGTACATTACGCTTGTATCTATGCACCCTCAACAAGCCGTGCTACGCACGCGGTGGCCGACAAAATCCCTAGCACGAAACATGTCCAACTTTCGAAAGATTGTCAGGCTTGGAGGCACATGGTCATTGGGGAAATATTGGTGGCAGCCACAACCACAATCATGGCCGCCTGTCTATGTGAGACTGTCAGGTTTGCAGGACCGGCTGAGCGCTGGGTTAGCTTGAAGGCCAAGGGTTGGTGTTGTCCCGCCCCGACGGGGATGGTGACATTTGCAAAACCCACCCGACGTGCAATCACCGAAGCTAGTCGAATCATTGCCTGCCTTTGGCCAAGTACACTGCCCCGTGCAGAGAAGCGCCCCTCGTTGAGCATGTAAACTCTTTCTCGACTCCTTTTACATCGATAGGGCATCGAGGTGTACGGAGGCTGTTTGCAGTGTGCAAGATGGCACGTCCCGTCTATGCTGACATCTGAAGATTGTTCTGAGCAGAGGTACCCCAACCAGCCCGATGACTAAGAGTCTTCGACAGCCTGCCTTGATATTAAGGACAATGGTGGTGGGTGTGGCCCCAGCACTTTGCGAATCAAGATACGAACAACCATCGAGTTCGGACCTTTGCCGGCTTCTGCGATGATGTCAGTTCAGGCCGGTCGCTGCACGAACACCAACTCTGGAATGTGTGGCCTGGTCCATGCAAACGACAGTTTTACAGTTTGCACGATGTTCACCGCCGGTGAATTGCGAGACAACGTAACACTCCCGAGCGAGGCCTTCTCGCGACTGCTCGAGAGGAAGCTGCTATAGGGGCCTATATTACCACTATTTTGGGGGATCCTTATTAGAAGTATAGTATACAATACCGCCCCTACGCCCCATGCCCATGGAACCACAGCAGACAGCAGCCTGGAATGGTCGAACCATGTAGACCTCAAGCCAACCCGACATCGAGCCGAAACCTGAAAGCACACTCAACCTACATAACTGGACAAACTCTGTCGAAGACAAAAAGTTTTTTCAGACTTAGTGGCTGAGTGGATACACTTTACTCTTTTTGGGGTAATACCACCCGCCATGAAACTAAAAGTGTACATTTTTTGGGGCTTATGAATTCAGCAACTAAGTAGCGAGAGAGACCTTGCAGGCGAGCACACCTTGACTGTCATGGTCAAAAGCCCCTTCGGGGAGCCTTGGAAGAGCATGAAGTGCAGTGTGGGAAGGACTGCTGGACTTGGGCCCTGGGCTAGTAATGATAGTAATAGTAAACGTAATAATAGTAAGAATGGTAATAGTAATAATTATAATGGTAATAGCAAGAATAGCAAAAACGGAAATAATTGCAATAATAACAATTAACAGTATTATAGTAGTAGTATTAACAATAGTAGTGCTGCTGGAAGTAGCCGAATGACCCTGGGCACGGAACGAAGCTACCGGAGGAAGTCGTAATGTGATGTGATGAGTGTTTGTAGATTGCACAGTTGTTGCTGCTGTTAGTGTTGCGATCACTTCCTGGTGATTGTTGTGGGTGTTTGTTCTTCCTGCGAAGATGACGGTGATGATGCGGGTGCTGATGCCGATGGTGAGTCATGACTTCGAGGCTGATGACGGTGATGATGGCGGTGGTGCCCGTCATTCCGATGAGTTTAGAATTGAATCTTCCAAGGCAGTACATGCACACACCTCATCATTGTGGCCCAGAATTCCACAGCCTGGCTTAGAGAGTCGTATCTTCTGCTTGGCATATTCGGCTTTATGGTGCAGCCACCTCCGTCTTGGGTAGTTGGTTAAGTCATGACTGCTTGCACTTGCATGTATGCCAAGAAATGCGACCTTTGGACCGGCTGGCACAACCACCCTGGAGGCAAAGGAGGGCATGTCGTGGCCTCAGAGGAAGACGTTGTCAACAGGAATGTGCAGCCGGCAATGGTAAGCATCAGAGATATGCATGTGATGGCGCCGGAGCGCTTGCGGCCGACATGGGTTCGTCCGTTTGCTCAACTGCAGCCTATGTGGTCGTTATAACGACTTTGGAGTTTTGCTCTCGTGCTCGTGGCCGCTCCGCATTGAATCTGATTGCCATCTCGAGATGGCCTTAAATGCTTGACGTTCAGGATCGCTTGCACCGACTCAGCAGTTTGCAAATGTAGAACCATTGAGCATTCCACGATTGTAGGGGCCAGCCTGAATGCCTGACTCTTGTGCTACGTCGTGTGAGAAGGTGTTACGGCCTGGACTGAAGATCCGTGTTTTTGATTTCCGTTGCTTCGCGGGAACTAATTTTCGCAGGAAATGACGCAACATGACTGTCGACGGCACGCGTTTGTGAATCAGTTGTGTGTGCATGCCATGCATGTAAATCCGTGTGTATGTACGCATGCATGCATGGATGTGCGTAATTGTATACATGATATATATATATATATATATATATATGTGTGTGTGTGTTTTCAGACTCTATGTATGACATGCACGAGAAGGTACACGAAGCTGGCTGTCAATCACTTGCCAGACATACACGTGCATCGATACGAAACTGTTTATGTATGCGTATTTATATATATATGTGTATGTGTGTGTATGCCTGTGTCTATGTGCATGTGCACACATTCATGCCTGCCTGCATGCATGCATGCATGCATGCATGTATATGCACATACAGCTGCACAGAAATGTACTTCTTCACGTTTGAAAGTATGTGCTAATATGAAAATGCATGCGCATGTAAACACTGTAAGCATGAAGCATTTGTGTGTGTATATGTGTATTAAAACCTCGTCTGACTTGTCGAGTGCGAGTGACAAAAGTTTGTGTATGTATTTATGCATGGATGTATGTATGTATGCGTGTGTGTGTGTGTGTGCATGCATGCACGCATGCACGCATGTGCATGTGCATGCTTACTGTCCGCTGCATGGTTCGTCATGATGTCAGGTTTTCTTGCATGCACAGTGAAGCACTAGGTGTGTGCCCGTATAGTGAGGGCGGGATGTATTCTGCAGCCTTCAGCCGTGGACAGTGAACACACCACAGAGTTCACCACAGTTTCGATTTGCTCATGTGGATCTTACAATTAATGTTTAGGAGCAGCAGCAATTGTTGTATCAGTTGCCGTGGAAGCAGCAGCATCAGCAGCAGGCAGTAGTAGTAGTGGTACTAGCAGCAGCAGTAGTAGTAGCAGTGGCAGACAGTGGGAGTAGAAGAAGCGGAAGTGCGACGTGCGAAGCCTGTTGCAAAAAAGGGGCCGCAGCGGTAGTACCACTCGTAGTCGGTTGTCGCAGTCGTAGTAGTAGTAGTAGTAGCAGCAGCAGCCGCAGCAGTAGTAGTAGTGGCCGTAGGTAGCGAAGGCACTAGTAGTAGTTAATTTTAAGGCTACGCCGCCCGCCTCGGCTGTTTAGCAGCAGGGCGAGGGGGCAGTCGATGTTGTATACATGCTAGGCGGGCCTCTCAACCCACGGTTGTTGATACCGAGTGCAAGAAGAACCGGGGCAGGAGGAGGGGGGGGGAGGGGGTGAGGGGGGGAAGAGGGGGGGGGGGGGGGGAGGGGGGTGGGGAGGGGGGTGGGGAGGGGAAGGGGGGGAAGCCGGACAAGGGGGTGGCAAACGAACGCAAAAAGCGGGTGTCTCGAAACATTAGGTGGAGTAACCATCAAGACGCCTGGGCCTCTGGCCTCGGCGGATTAGTAGGTGGTAGGTGGTAATTAAGTCCAGGTAGAAGGTAGCAGTAGTAGTACCAGCAGCAGTCGTAACAGTAGTAGTAGTAGTAGTAGTAGTAGTAGTAGTAGTAGTAGTAGTAGTAGTAGTAGTAGTAGTAGTAGTAGTAGTAGTAGTAGTAGTAGTAGTAGTAGTAGTAGTAGTAGTAGTAGTAGTAGTACAGCGGAAGTAGTAGAAGTAGTTGTTGTTGCTGCTGTGGCTTCTGTTGTTGTTGCCGTTGCCGTCACCGTTGTTGTTGTGGTGGTGGTTGTGGTTGTGGTGGTGGTCGTGGTTGTTGTCGTTGTCGTTGTGGTTGTGCTTGTGGTTGTGCTTGTGGTTGTGGTTGTGGTTGTTGTTGTGGTTTGTGGTTTGTGGTTGTGGTTGTGGTTATTGTTGGTGGTTGTGTTGGTTTTGGTGTTACAGTGTTGATGTTGGTGTTGTTGTTGCTGCTGTCGTTGTTGATGCTGCTGTTGCAGTGGTTGTTGGTGGTTGCTGGTTGTGTTTGCGGTGAGTGTTGCTGTTGCTGCTGTTTGTTGCTTGTTGCTTCTTGCTTGTTAGTGATGGCTGGTTGTGGTGGTGGCTGTGTTGTTGTTCTTGTTCTCGTTCTTGCTGTTGTTGGTGTCGCGCATTGTCGTTGTCGTCGTCGTTGGTGGTGGTGGTTGACCCGTGCAATGAATACCCGCTCATTACCTGACCACAGAAAGTGCCGGCCCTTCGTGGCGGGGCGGGCTCTCAGAAGACTAATTATTGCACGAGAGCAGGTCCATGCAAACCACTCGCAAAGGGCAGGTGTTGCTCGCTGCTCTGTTACACGGCGCCCCACAAGCTGTCCTTCAATCTTGTTCTGTGTGCTTGCACAACTCTGCCGGACAGCATTGCATGGAATGTGCTCAGGGCACGCTGGAAGCTATGGAATTTTTCAGACACCTGGCTGCCCTTGTGATTCACAGCAGATGAACGCGCTGTTTGAGCATGCCTAAAATCTAAAAAGCCTAAGAAAGCCGTAGGGATGCCTAAACTGCACCACCAAAGATCACCCCGCGTGCTCGCATGAACTGAGACAAGACACCAGCAAACCCCGCCCGTACACTGAGTCCGTTAGACCCCCACCATCCCGAAACCTCCGACACAGCCACGAGTCTCCTGGACCCCAACTCCCTCCGAAAACCGCCGGAGTTTGGCAAAGATACCTGTCCGCAAGGGCTGGGATGGGAGGCATTGCGAGTCCATAGTAATTCATCATGAGAGTAAGAGGCGTAGATGACCGTCTACAAAGAAACATTCAGAACGCTCCAGTGTTCTGTGGGTGTGTATATATGCTCGACAATGCAATGCAGCTGCAGGCAGAATAATTATGGCTGCAATGTCGCTATCCTCCCTGGTGCATATAGTATATGAAGTTTGTGGCATGTCATTCCCCTACATGGGCATGTAGCTGGTCTTGACTTCTGATGGCATATTGCTACTGCCCTTTTACGTGTACGTCCTGCCAGTTGTTCACTGCTGCTTTTGCCTGTGCCAGTGATGGTGACGCTAGGTAATCTAGATAGCCGGAGCCTGAAGGATTGTTGCAGTTGCAATAGTAGCCTTTTGTCACAGCAAGAACGAAAGCAGGTGAACTGGTATCAGGATCATAATTCCACTATAGCCGTGGTATTGGCAGTCGAACACAGCACCACAAAAGCTACGCTGATGCTGACGTTGTTGGTGGTGGCGCTGCTGCTATTGAAGGAGATGGAGGCAACACCTGGAAAACACTTCAGAAGCGTAACAGCAGTGCTAATCTGCAACACGACGCAAGTAAAGCAATAAACATCAGATTCCACCCAGCGAGTTGAAGCGATGACTCCTCTTGTGACCTTTCGTTTCATCTCAACGAGCCCTCGGCCCTAAACGGGCAACGGCCAGGACCCTGCAGTGAGTTCGACTCCAAGTCGGAATGCCAGCAGCCGAGATGCCACTGGGACGAGGCCCTTCGCACTTGGACATCGGAGGTTGGTTTCAGTAGATTGTGGTACAACGGATGGGATGTCTCGTCGCTGGTCGGCCATTGAGGGAGGCCACAGAGTTGGGGCTCGCATCGACACTTGTTTTGAGGATGATATGATAGGATTATAGGATGAAGCATTCAATAGACACGAGCCACCAGCGGCAATCAGGCTGTAGATCCCCACAACTCCAGCACACTAGCAGCCTAATGCAAAGAGAGGGCCGCTGGAGGGACATCAAGCCAACAAGACGCAGCTCAATCAATACACAAGCGCGCGAGACTACCCGAGTTGTTTGTTTGCATGGTGTTGCCTTGCTGGCTGTTTGGCTTAGTTTGCTGCTCTTTACCGTTTACCTCCGACCTTGGGAAACACGATGTGATCTTCCCACCACATACAGAACACGATCCGAAATGGGCAAAGTCATTGCCGCACTGTCCCGTTTTAGGCAAGCGTGATTTTTTTTCGGGGTGCCTCGGCACACATACCTATACACACGTCGATGCAGGCATGCATACATACATGCGTTTACACAGTTAAGCATGTGGGGGGTTGAGGGTTTTGCCACAAAACTTGAGTAAGCTGGGCATGAGCCTACCGGAAGAGGAGAGTCTGGCTAGACATAAGGTTTACGCACATATAGCCAGTCGCTGAACAACTTGAGAGTTGTTGGTGCTTTGGCTTTAGACAACGCCGGGTTTTTACGTCGCCACGACCATTGCAGAAGCAGTGCGACTAAGCCTTGATAGTCGTCTGCGTCTCCGAAATGGTGTCCCAACGCTATCCGTTCTCGTCGTTATTCATTCCTTTTGAACTTTTAGTTCCTGCTAGTGCTGCTGCTACTACTGCTGCCGCTCCTGGGACAGACGCTGTTACAATACTAAGGGATAATGGAATGTTGAAGTGTTTTCCTGCACTTATTGAAGTCCGCTCGAACTTTTTGTCGCGTAGATTTCAACAGCCGTGCTTGAACAGTTCGGGTTGCATCCATTCCGTTTCTTCTTGTAAAAGAGGACGAGTGCATTGACCTAGCCGAATGTCCCGGCAGCGACAAAGTGGCAGTTGGAGTGACTCGGCCTGCAAGGCTTGCACCAGTCGGAGTTCCTGTATACATACATACATACATAGGTGATCTAGTCAGTTCCACGTATCCTTATCCCCCAATCCGCCAAAGCCCTGTAATTACGCCAGAAGCCTCTTGTAGCAGCACAGCAAGACTGTGGTCTCCTCGCCCTGATGATCGTAAAGCTGCTAACCATTGCACGAGTAGGCAGGTCACAAGCCGCAGAAGTAACAACAACAGTCCACGTGACGAGTGCCAACGCATTGTGAAGCCTCCAGGCCACCGGAAATCGTCTGGCAAGCATGGCTTTGTTTCTTGTTTACCATCTTCACCAAGCTTGAGATCTGAGATGGGATAGTTGGGGCATTCCGGCTTCAGCCTGGTTTCCGAATGTTCCCCAGAGCAAGTTTCTGCCGGTAGTTGCTTCCGCAGCTGAAGACACAAAGATGCAGTGGATCGTTGGCAGACGCATATATCTGCAGATGCATTGGTGATGCTGTGTTTGTGTTATGCTGAGGCGGACTGTTTGTGTGGTGACGTCAAGGCAGAGAAGGGGAAGTACTGCTATGAGGACCTGATTTCATCTGCTCTTGGGGTCATCATGCTCCCCGTATAAAGTACGAAGACTCGACCACCACGGAAGAGAGAGAGAGAGAGAGAGAGAGAGAGAGCGAGAGAGATGACAGCTAGAGGGCATCGGGATGATAGCCATAGGGGCCCGGAGATGAGGCCGGGATTCGGGGGGTATAGTGTAAAGGGTTGGTGCTTGCTACAGGAGAATCCGGAGCCCACCATGCAGTACTTTGCAACGGTCAGCTGGAACCCCGAAGCCAGCCGCTCACGAAGACAACGTGGGGGCTGGGCGGGCCGATGGCCTGAGGGCCGCATGGACGACGCTTACTCCCGCGGAAAGAAAGAAGAGAGAAAGAGGAGAGAGAGAGAGAGAGAGAGAGAGAGAGAGAGACCATCGTTGGGATGCGGCAGCAGCTATTTTTATGCCGTCATTCCGGCAGAGCTTGCTACATTGCCTGTGCAAGCAGGACCAGACCGCCCACGACGGAGCCAAGCCAGATCCCAAAAGCGCGCCCAGTCTTTCAACAATGCCGTGACTCACAACATATGTTCAACGAGATAGAAGCAGGGTACCAAAGCCAATCCGACCATCTGTACAGCAAGCATTGTAATGAGAGATAGAATACTGCGTGATGCACCTGCAGACATACAGGATGTTAACATCCTCGAGTATCAGCCTCAGAGCAGTCCGACCATGCAGTTGCGCTCGGAATGCGAGACCAGTACAAGGTCAAGCGGTAGGCCAAGCAGTGCTTGGAGATAGCAAGACCCGGTGCTGGAACGAATCGCGCTCAATTGGTGCGTACGGTAGTGCCAGTCAGACCGACGATGCAAACGAGTAGTCAAGGTTCAGAGCCTTCAGCATCCTTCAGCATGAGTAGTCATGGTGTTGTTGGTGTATTCGGCCTGTAGCTTCAACAACTTTTTCGCTGGGTTTACAAGCTGCACCTACTGCAGTGCAGGAGCTGTTGCCCTTCTACTACGACTTCCCCCCCAACCCCTTTACGTCTCAGTTGTTGCGGCCTCTATCTTGCCCTTTAAATTCCCAGACTTGAAAGTTTTGCCCCATTACCACGGGCAAACATCGCAACGACAGCGAGGTTAGGTTGTAGTATGCGACTTAGATCGACTTAGTATCCTCCGGGCAAAGACAACCGAAGTGGTACATACTCACTCATGAATCCTCGCCCTGCTGGTGAGAAGAAGGTTGCATGCATCTGGTAAGAGCAGTAGTCGCCCAGCCTGCAGCTATGAAGCGCTCCTTCGCCAAGGCTGCCAGAGGTTGGAGCACCGAAGTGGGGCTCCTGCTCTCTGCCATCGTCCTGATGCTTTAGGCCGAGTAGGAGTTTTCAGGTCTGCCAGGCATGTGGCCACCAGCGTGGCTCAAGCCAGAAGTCATGAAACTTCAGGGTTTCGGGCCAAGAGGCAACTTGGGAAGCGATCGCCTTGAGGGCCTCAACCCGAGGTCAGGATGATCTCTTTTCAGGCACAGGCTTGGGCTGCATTGAACTCGTTTGTGAAGGTGTTTAGGCGTGATTGCTCATCGCATGCCTGAGTCTGAGCAGAGCTGTCGCTCATGGTGTTCCACCTGCGAAGCTGCAGATCGGAACTTGCTGCAGTAGCTGTACAAACAGAGAGGATGATCTCCAGAGCTGCATGCAAATGACAACATACTGACCAAATCTGCATCACGCGACCCCTCACTCCTCCCCTTCCTCGGCAAACCGCACCTTCATCCCTCCCCCCGAAGTGGCGCTGAGGATCAATCGCGCAGATTACCCGCCGCTGGGTGCTGGTTCATCTCCACGAGTGGCGAAGCTCTGTGGGGCCGCTAGGTTATGTAAAAGTCTGAGATTCGTGGGGAGGGGTAGCCATCATTCTTGTCGTTGTTTCACGCTGCACGGGCTTGATGGCATTGACAAGGAGGTTTCAGGTCAAGGTGCCAGAAATCATTGAACTTTTGCGATGGTTATCTTCAATATGGAAGCAGGCCACGAACTCGTACCGATATCCGGCCCATGGCCTGAATGCTCGCATGATTTGAATGCTTGTTCTCCTTGTTGTTGTTGCTGCCGTGGCTGCAGCCGTTGTTCATGCTCTTGCGCTTGGGCTTGCTCTTGTTCCTGTTACCGTATTGTCTTTTATTAGTCACTGTATAGCATTCTTGGTATTGTTTTTGCTAATACTCTTGCTCTTCTTCTTTGTTGTTGTTGATGCCGTTCCTGCTGCTGCTGCTGCTGCTGCTGCTGCTGCTGCCAGCTCGTGTTGCACAGAACCGAAAATTCGGTGAGGGGGGGCAAGGCACCGCACGTCGTGTTTGTCTGAACGGTTTTCTGTGCGGCTGCCTAAACTTGCTCATAGATGCTCCAGTTCTTCATCAAAGCCTGCGAAAACAAGAATCTTGAGATTCATGGCGGCTTGCATTTTGGGGCACTGGCTGGGCTAGCTGCGTGAGGCTGAACAGGGTTGGCCAGGAAAGAGTTGCTAAACCAGAAATGCTGACTGCTCCTGATTGTCTGAGGAAATACTGCAAGTTGGGCAGGATGCACCTTGGACTCAGCTTGTGGTAGAACTACAGCGGTGCGAATGATAGGTTTCCCCTAACCAACAGCATTGAAAGTTGGAGCACCAGCATGTGGGATCCGTTAGCAGGAGGAGGAGGAGTAGGAGTAGGAGTAGGAGTAGAGTAGGAGTAGGAGTAGAAGTAGGAGTAGTAGCAGTGGCAGTAGCAGTGAGCAGTGTAGTAGTAGTAGTAGTAGTAGTAGTAGTAGTAGTAGTAGTAGTAGTAGTAGTAGTAGTAGTAGTAGTAGTAGTAGTAGTAGTAGTAGTAGTATCGTTTCTGCCGCCGCCACAGCGGCAGCGGCCCAGACCAGAGCTTGGGACAAAGAAACATCCGGATCATCCGGAAGCTTCAGATGTGCCGTTCGGATTGGGATTGCTACCGGCAGTGAAAGAACTAGAGTCCTAGAGTCACTACTCATAGAAGCGCCGGATGTTCTGGGCTATGTTGCCAGGGGAAACTATTGGAGCCATGTGCCCACAGTGCTCAAGGCCTTGCCGTAGGCAACATGAGTACAGTGAGCCCCACAAAGTTGGAAACCGGCTTCAGGCCAAATAGTGCTGGGATACCCTATACATTACTCTTAAGGACTGAGGCTATTGGGTTTCCAACTTTTGGGCCTCTGCTATAGTGGTGCCCGAACTGACAGTTTAAAGGCTCTGGCCTCGGTAGTTCACTTGTCTTGGCACGCACACGCACGCGCACACACACACACACACACACACAGAGACAGACAGACACACACAGACACACACAGACACACACACAGACACACACAGACACACACAGACACACACAGACACACACACAGACACACACACAGACACACACAGACACACAGAGACACACACAGACACACAGAGACACACAGAGACACACACAGACACACAGAGAGACACACAGACACACAGAGACACACACAGACACACAGAGACACACACAGACACACAGAGACACACAGACACCACACAGAGACACACAGACACACGCGCACACACAGACACACACAGACACACACAGACACACACAGACACACACAGACACACACAGACACACACAGACACACAGACACACACACAGACACACACACAGACACACACACAGACACACACACACACACACACGCCTTCGCAGAACCGCCAACTCTTCACTTTTGCTGTGCTTCTTGGAACATTACGAGCAGTTTGGCACTGGTGAGGAACGGCCGGATAGTGCGACCATCTGCACCTCAGCGGGCAAGTATCTATCCGCGACTGGGACAGCAATTATGGGGCACGAGTTGTCGAGATGTGTTCCCTGTTCACAAGATTTTGCAGTCCTTCCGTTTGTTGTGAGCCTTCCGCATGTTGCTTGTGGGTGTGGTTACTTTCTCCGAGAAGTCACAGTAGTAGCAGCAGTGGTGGTGGTGGTGGTGGTGGCAGCAGCTGCGCAGCAGCAGTAGTTCCCGAACCCAACAGCCGAAAGTACCCCAAGTTTTAAGAACTTCAACCCCGAGCCATGCAAAGCGTGGTCTTACCTAAGACCCATGAGTCCGATAGCCTAAGTCTAGTCTCCGAGGACTGTCTCATCATGCATCCCACGGAGAAGCTCGTGGTCCCTGAAGGCCGACTTACTCGGGACCGAGCGAGGGTACCTGTTCTGTTGGAGTTTTTGCCCACGACGCGGTCCTGCAAGCATGTGGGTAGCAGCAGCTCGAGACTGATTGCCTTGGCGATTGCCATAGACATATAGTATCTTTTTGCTGCTGCTACTACGACTACTACTACTACTACTACTCCTCCTCCTCCTGCTGCTGCTGCTGCTGCCGCTGCTGCCGCTGCTGCTGCTGCTGCTGCTACTGCTACTGCTACTTGCACAGGATCAGAAGAACAAAGAAAGCATGCTCAGGCGTGTCTTTGGACGACCCACAGACGGTGGCCCAATGCCTTACACAAGCCGCCGAGGCGACTGGGTTTTGTCTTTTCATGGGTTGCTCAGTGGTTCAGAGCTCGTTGTGGAGGTTGAGACGTGTGCAGGGTCGGATTGCGTCCGAGCCCCAAGCGCCTCCTGTTGACCTTCCCATCCCCGGCTCTATGATTGTGGCCGCTATGCTAGGCACTCACGGACCTCAGCAGGACACCATTTGAGCTGGCCCCCTTTGAAGCAAACAAACTATTTCTGCCATTCGTATCCCGCACCTGTAGCGAGAGACTGCGGGGCTGAATGCTCTCAATCGACATCGGAGTCGTGGGTTTCAATCCTTCGAGGTGGATGCACCGTAAAATGCAAAGTGTTCAGGTGGTCCAAGAACTTCTCCGCACACCCTCTGCGTCGCCTCCGCGGCCTCAGCGATCGAAGCTGGCACAGTCTGCGACTGGGCCAAGGGATTTGAATTGCAGGATTTCATGGTGCTTGTGTTCGGCGGCTAGATACAGCTTGAGTGGTTGAGGGATTAGTCAAGGCACTTGTCCTGCCAGATCTTGGAGCCTAGACCTACCAGCTACAGATTGCAAGAGGTGCTTGTTCTGGCATGTTCTTACATGTCCGGAGCGCTCATCCCGACTCACTTGCAGCACCCCACTTGGCCGCTGTCACACCAGAGCACCGTGTATCATGTGGGCTCCGTGGCGAGAAACGGGCCGAAGAAGTCGGCCCGGACCGAAATCCATGGATCCTCTGTCCGAAACCGAGACCCAAGATGCTGTTTTCATATTGTTTCCGTGATTGATATAACCGCTGCCGGAAGCTGTTTTAATCAGAGATTACGAGCGTCAATGCTTCGTTCGTTCTACAAATGTCGGTTCTTGCCCTGGTCAGAGAGCCTCTTGCTGTCTTAGTCTCGTACAGTACATCCCGCTTTAACAAGAAAACTCATAGCACCCGTTTACATGTGCAGCCGGCGATTGTCCTACTGCTGCCATCATACAACCTTCCAAGGATGTCCATCCTCCCACGGGGCGGCGGCCTGCTTCGAGCCTGCAGACGAGTGAGGAAATACAGTTATAGTGGGATCGGCAAGGTCCTCAAGCACAGCATCGTCTAGCCAGGCGGGAGGCAAAAAATAGGTCGACGGAACGGGCTGATCTCATGCATCTTCTGGGTTCGGACATACCATTCAGTCTTGCTCTAGTTCCTCTGGCTTACACCAACAGCCAGTAAATGTGGAAGGGGGATACAAGCGTTTGGATTCCTGAGGATCGACCGCGTGGAGGTGGCTACATCACAGTGGACAACAGGCCGGTTTCGTGACAAGCAAAAACTTCTGAATCCGGCAACTCTGGACTTAAACTTCTGCAGCCCTGCAGCCAAGGGACTGTGTATCTTAGACCAAGCGGAACTTGGCATAGAGCGAGACGAGCAGAGAAGAGTAAAGATAGTACTCGTATGGTGCAGTACAGTATTGTACACTGTAGTGACTGCAGTGTCTACTATAGTGTATACTGCCCTCGAGTAGAGTAGAATGAGCAGAGTATAGGGTAGATCCAAACATTTTTGCACAGAGCATTCTAGAGCAATGTTAGCACTACCCATAGGCTCTATAGTAGTTCCTCCTCTTTGGGATACCCTATAATAAGGTAAGCCCAAAAAGGAACTACCATGGAGCCTACGGGTATAGGAATGCCGCAGCGTAAGGCGCTCGCCGCCGACGGCATCCCTCGAGCCCATGGGAGCCAACTCGACTTCTCAACACTCGAGGCGAGCTGCAGGAGTTTCTGGTTTAGGGTGCCGGGTTGCTCATGTGGGAGACGACTCCGGGCGAAGTGCGAAGCCTGTTGTACAAAAGGGTGCCGGGTTGAACATGGGCTGGACAGGTTAGCTTCAGGCTATATACTGGCTTTTAGATTTTAGGTTTTGGGCGGGAGGCTGGATTTCAAGAAGATCTCGGGCGGTTTTGACAATTCAGATTCAGGCGGCTAGCGCGTTCTGGATTTCAGGTCGCGATTTTGTGCCTCAAAAGCACTGAGGAGAGCTGGGGGTCTATGTCTATGGTCTGCATGAGGCTTTTTGCGATGAGGACTGCATGCTTGGTGGTCACGAGGAGTGCGACTTACCATAGCTTTGGTGCTCCGCATTATACTTGCTAAGGATGGCGGCATGCCCTTACTGATTAGATGGTTAGCAGGGATGGAAAATCACCACTGGACTTCGTGTGTATAACCCCAGTTTTGCGAGACTGATGCCCGCCGGATGCAGAGGGGGCAAGAGAAAGATGCACAGAAAGCAAGAAGAGCTACCGTAAGAACAGACGTCAGCCTCCCATTTTCAACTCAGGAGCCGGTTGATCAGGTTGCTGCATCGTTGCAGAAAGAAGTGATTCGCACTACTATGTCCTCCACCCTCCCGACAGAGCCGCAATTCCTCTCTGACAGGTCGGAAGACATCATCAAGCCTCCTTCGGGAGGTGCATTCCAAACGGTGATCACTGGCGTCATGTGTCTTCGTGAAGTAACAGTACAGCAGGGGTCTAAATTTTGAATTAAGCACGTGAGTAATGATTCGGTAATGATGTTCTGATATACATAGACAAGGGATGCACGCAGTCGCGCTTTGCCACGTGGATTGAAAGCATGTTTGTGTTCCTATGCTTCCGCAAGCAAGCAAGCCCGATCTCTGTGGAAGACCGTGAGGATCCGAATCTAAAGCGATCCTCAGCTGTCCCACCACGGAGCCTAAACCGCGAAACTCGACCCTTTCCAGGAGCCCCTAGTCGAGCCCGCTCTCCGCGGACACTGCTGCCGGGGGCCCACAGGGTTTTTCAGGGCCTGTGGCGATTTTTTCGTTTAAAGACAGACATGTGTCGATTTGGGAATTTACGGTTCGGGCGTCAGGTCGTCAGATCACACAAACACAGCCGCTAAGGCGAGACTCGCGAGCTTTACACCCCTTCCGATATGCGAACCGACCGCCTCCTCCTCGAAGGCCTTTGTCGCAGGGAGCCCGCCAGAGCGGCGGGTTTCAGACGATGCCACCGCCTAATCAGCAGGAAGGCGCAGTTAGGAGAGTTCGGGGCGGGGAGAAATTCCGCACATATTTGGTAACGGGGAAATGCCTCTAGATACGTTGTGATACGTTGGTGTATAGGATGCTCTGGGGTGCCACATCCATGGGCCAGTTCTCGACTTGGGATTTTGGAGGAAGGGTTATCCCCACAAGCCTCCATAACTCCATAACCAACCCTTTTTGCGTTTATGATTTACTGTGAGAGCTTCCTGTGTTCGTTTCACTCAACCTCCGAACCATATGCCTCGCCTGGATTGTCCGAGTGTGAGCGCCGAAACCTTTGAGCCCCAAGCAGCGCCAGGCACCTCCCCTCCTGCACGGCGCGGACTGGGCTCGAGTCGCTCCGCACCGGCTCGAGCCAACTCCCCACGGCTGTGGCTGGGGCGGCGTTAGTTCCTTCTACTTGTCGGATTTTCGGGCTGATCATGTGGAGCCGGTGCTTCGGTGCTGAGTGCGAGCTAAGTGGGGGAGAGGCATGAATGATGGTGAGCCTAAATTGAAGCGCTTGTTTTTCTATTGCCCTGAAGGTATCCTTTGAACCCTTAATAAGCCGCAGGAAATTGTAGTCTTGCCAAAAAGGGAATAGTTCGCAGGGATTTCATATCCCAAATGGCTCATTACCGATGATAAGAATAGGAGGAACGATCACATGTTCTGTCTTCTTATTGGTATATTAGCGAATTCGCGCTGCTACGCCCAGCGCAAAACGGAGCCATTCCCGGCTGTTTCGAGCGTGGTCTTTGCTCGTATATGCTGTGGCATCACCGTTGCGGGCTGAATGCAATTATGTTGATCCGGTCGTCCTGTAAGGGATGTGACTCGATATGATGTTGCCACCTCCTACCTCCTTTGCAAGTGCGGCAGGAGGGCCTGGTTTGATTCTATTGATTCTATTGGTTTTGGTGGGATAAGCCCTGCATAGTCTCAAACATCATATTACGCAACCAGGTGGCAAAAAGTGGGTACTGCCACGAACAGTTGGTGGAAGCTCTGTCATAACCATGTCAGCGGCAGAATCCTGCTCGTCCAACCCCTGAACATACCTAAAGCTTTTGGACACCAGCAGCTTCCGAGGCCTTTAGAAGTGACTCCATCTGTCGCGAAGAGGACTTTCCACGCGCAACCTGAAGAAGACCGGTGCTCCCGCGTCCGAGCTTGACATGTCGCGTGTTTGAAGCCACTTTGTGGGGCTGGTTTGCAGGACTTTGGCCCCTTTGCGCCGCGCCCCCTCGCCTCGAACCACGCGTTTAGGCGGGCCATTCGTGGACGGTTCCGGTCTCGGGGATGGGGGGGGTTTCTCGTGGCGGCTTGGGCTTGAGGACTCGGGGTTGTCGGATTGCTTGGGTTTCTCTTTTCAGGTCAGTGCATGACGATTTCTCCAAGCAGATTTGGGAGTGGGTTCAGGTTGAGGTCGACCAGCCAGCCTTGGGTGGCAATTGAGCCTCGCGTTCAGCCCAGAGACTCGAAGTTTTCGTCCCGTGAAGACCGTAAAATATAGAGTAGTACAGTGTATATTTATGTTGATGTTGTATCAACTTCATCATTGATTATTTATTAGTATTGCAAGGACAGATATTGTGATTACTCTTGTTTTGTATTACTACTATTGCTATAGCTGTCTAAACTGTATGTATTATCTTTGTCATTGTTAGCATGGCAATTGGTGCATTTGTGGGTGTCATGATGAGCAGGCTTCTGAATACTACCAGTATGCATAGTGTATAGAGCTATTGGCAACTATTTCCATGTTTACAATCAATATAGATATTGTTATTATCAAAAGCACTTCGTCAAAACTTCCACAAACCTTTCAACACACACATGCTGGCAACCAAATCGAGACTGTCAAATCTTGACAACCTTCAGACAGCAACAGCTCCTGCCTTTTCGGTACAGTTTCTACCAACAAAATCTTGGGCGCTGTGAGCTTCTTAATAATGAGCACTCACAATGAAAATCTGAGTATTAACATATCATGATAAACACAATGACTGTAATAATAAGATGAATAATGGGTTCTCCTGCAGGTGAGCAGGGCGTTCTGCTAACTCCACGCGAGAGCCTCGCTCGAAGCCGCACGAGCCAAAGCGGCTCGTGAAAAAGATCGCGTGCCTGCTTTCTGAAGTTGCAGCCCGCTGTTTCAGAGTTGGGGAGTTGAGTGCTGGGAGGATCAATTGGACCTGCATAGCCACTGACTCGAATTGGTTTCAGGGTTCGGAGTTGGGTTGCCCAACTTAGCTCGTGTCAGGTGTTGCTTCATCTGTTCAACAAGCCCTCCACCCAAGCACACATACTGACATTAGATTGCCTGTGCAGCAGGTCCGCTTCAGGGCATGTGTAGATTCGAGTGGCAGCGAACTTCGACACGTCGTGGAAATCTGCCAGACTGCGTGCGCGACCATTGTTTTTGCAGCAAATCCTGCTGGCGGCAAGGTGTTTTGGCCATCGTATTGGGGTGTCATCGTTGCATTGGAGTTTTGGCTGCAAGTGCCTTCTGTTCTGACCGACAAATCCAACAATGGTGAAAAACAACTCTGTGAGCTAGCAGGAGCATGAACTCAGACACAGAATAAGAACGACCGCCACCGCGTCCGCCACCCGTGCCGCCGCCACCATCACCACCGACGACAACAGCAGCGGCAGCAACAACAACAACAACAGAAACTGCAGCACAGCTAGGAAGACCACTACTCTACGGCTGCTTCCGCCGCTGCGTGAGTACGAAAATAAAGCTACAAAACTACAACAACATAACAACAACTACTACTAGCACCACTAGACCACTACCAGTACCGCTACTGCTCCCGCTAGGACTACCACTGCCTCTACCACTTCAACTTCTATTTCGACGACTGCGACGACGATGACGACGACCACTGCTACTACTACGACCACCCACTACCACTGCTACTACTACTACTGCTGCTACTGCTACTACTCGTCCTCCTCCTACTACTACTACTACTACTGCTGCTACTACTACTAACTACTACGACTACTACTACTACTACTACTACTGCTACTACTACGACTACTGCTGCTGCTACTACTACTACTCCTGCTACTGCTACCGCTACTACTTCTGTCTGCTGCTGCTATTGCTACTACTACCACTACTACTACTACTACTACTACTACTACTACTACTGCTAGTACTACCACTACTACTACTACTACTACTACTACTACTACTACTACTACTACTACTACTACTACTGCTACTGCTACTGCTACTGCTACTGCTACTGCTACTGCTACTACTACGACTATGATCACTACTGCTGCTACACGACTCCCACTGCTACCACTGCTACTGCTACTGCTGCTGCAACCCACCGCCACCACCACCACCACCACCACTACCACGACTACTACTGCTACTACTACTACTGCTACTGCTACTGCTACTGCTACTACTACTACTACTACGACGACTACTACTACTACTACTTCTACTTCTACTGCTTTATACTACTAGTACTACTTGTTAGCATTCTGAACTCCACGGTTGTCACGCGTAGTGGCCAGTTGTTCTCTCCACACAGGGTATAGCCATGTTTTTGGTTCACTTCTAGAGCGAGACCCGGCTCCCCTTCGACTCAGGATGCCGGCAGCCCCGAAGACGAGGAGTCTCCGATAGATTTGAGTTGTGAGCACTCGTTCTGTTTCTTCTCGGCCACGAAAGCTTCCATGATGGGTTAGAACACTGAGTGACGCCGCGCGGAAATGTTGAGCCATGAGCTCGAACGTTTTGTGCCCTTACTCCCGAAGCTACTGCAACAGGCCATCTGCAAGTCCCTGGCCACTTGGGCCAGGCGGGATGGGACGATGAATATACATAAACATATATATACATATATATATATATAGCATATATATATATATATATATATATATTTATATTGTATATATATGTATAACATCAGGCATAGTATTATAGTGTGGCAAAATACAATGCAATATTAATCATGTTAACAATTAGGAAAGTATATAAGAAAAATTAAGACAGGTACAAGTGAAACATGAATGTCAATATATACATATGCTTTTAGTATAAGAAAGCAAAATATCACATCATCCAATATAGCGAGACACAAGAGTAGTCGACCCCAAACACGGAGACCTCTTCTGGCGCGTCCGAGTTGCGAGAGCGTGATATAACATGTTACAGTTTAATGCATGTTCGAATAAGTATATATATATATATATATATTCATATACATGTATATATATATATATACATATGTATGCATTAGATAGGTACTATAGTCTAATCTATTTGCAATATGCAGCATATTACAATGTGATGTGATGCTCTAGAACGTGTGTATGTTACAACCCCAAAGCTTGATAAAGCTTGCAATCCATTGTTTTCGTTGCAGGTGTGAACTTATTGCCACTCGTCTGAACAAGCTCAGATGTTGCACTGACATATGTCGGAGTCGTTTGGTTAGCGGCCTTCTGATTCATGGAGGGCTGCTCTTTTTGCGGGCTTCCGTTCTTTACTTCAAGCCACGGGCCTGTCACAAAGCTGGCCGTCCCTGTTCAGATGCCTGGTTTCCCGAAGCCAGCAGCTGAAAACACATTTCGATCGAGGCCAAGCCTCCCTTCTACGACGAGCTCAAGCAGTTGCCCAAAGCCAGAGACGCCATCGGAATGATCGAGAAAGAGTGGAGTCATTCGGATTGCTTCAGGTCCAGAGTCTAGTTATGTTTCAACGCATTTGGGTCAAGATTCTAGATGCGGGGCTTGCTTTTGGTTGCGTTGTTAGCTGCTCGCTTATGATTCTGGCTCACGTTTTTGGTAGTTTTGCAACGATGCAACATCGCATGACTGTTGTCCGTCCTCCATTCGGAGGCCGCTCCCGGCGCTTGTCACAAAACGTTCATGTAGCGAAGCTGTAATTCTTGCATCACGAGGTGAGTGCTGGGCTGACAACTTCTCCACAGCTGACTACATCGCGGTCACTGACAGTCAGCCTGTCAGCATCCAACGGGCATTGAGCAGACAGCCTTAAACCGAACCGAGCACGCAAAACTTCGACCGGGAGTGGAAGTTCTGACTCTGTAAGTTTGCAGTGGGTCGGATCTTTGATTAGAATTTCGTGCGCTTTCCACCAGCAGAAAGAGTGAAACTTTTGTGTGAATGCGTTTCATCAGTTCCACGAAAATGGGGATTCCATCGGGGCGCGTCCATGTGTCAAAGCCAGGTCCTCCAACAGCGGACGCTAGACAGAGCTAACTTGTCTCTTCCCTGTGCACCACTACAGTACATGCCTCGCCTTCAACTGTCTTGTGAAGCACTTTACAGCAAAGAGGTCATGGGTTAGGGCATCAGTTCGCTGAAGCCCTAAAGTTCGTTCGGCCCAGGCGACGTAGTGTTCACCTCCTTCGTTCTGCCCTCCTTGCTCTTCGAGCCCGGTCCATCCAAGCCCAGGCGATGAGTATCAGCTTAGGGGAGCCGTGCTGCTTTCAAGCCTCAGAGTCAGTGAATAATAGCATATAATAGCTTCATGAAGACGAAGATACACAGGCTTTCCTGGTGGTCTTGGAGCTGTTTTGCTCATGTTCTCGTCGGATTTGCGCATGTTGTCTTTTTAAGCTGGAGCCTTTGCGAAGCTGGAGGCCCGTGCGTGACGCTGAATCACCTGCAATGCCTTCCTAAGCCTCCCATGGCTTCTTGAACAAAGCGAGTTCCTGCAGATGCTGCATCAGCCCCAATCTTAGGCCCTACATTCAAACACTCGTCACAGGCCGATTGTCATGGGGCATTCCGAGCTGGAGGTGTTTCTGGCGACCGTGCTGGGGCCTCAGAGCTAGGCGAGAGTATTTTTTTTGAGGGGGGGGGGGGGGGGGGGGTCGTTCCTTTACTCCCATGTGCTCCAGGATAGCAGCGACGGTTCAGCCTTTTAACCGGCAGTGCTGTGTATACGGGTGCTGACTGCAGTAGACAGCCGCACGTCAGCATGACCATCGCAGATGTCCTTCAAGTTCAGAGGTGGGCCAACGCAGTCGCGCCAGCATGGAAGTGACGTCGTCGTTAGCAGTTGACTGCCAGCCTTCATACAAGTCGATATCAAAGGCTCGCGCTTCGTCTGGTCTGGGTGGCTGCATCTCGCCGGCAAGATTCGGAATCCGACGAAAAGACCTATCACTGTACCCCCAGGAGCCCCAAAGTGCCTGAACGTGTCAGGGTTCATTTAAGTTTATTTCCCCAGGCACGCCAACAGTGGCCCAGCCTTAAAAGGGCACCACAACAAGCTGAAAGAAGCCAGGAACTCGTGGTTGCAAAAAGGGCTACGCAAAGCCGTTCAGCGATGCTAGCTGAACAAGCCAGGAGTTCATGGACAATTTCCCGTTGGTCATCCACCGGGCTCACTTCGGCTCGTTTCGGCAAATTCTCGTTTTGCGACTCAGCATATAATTGAAGAGTATTGAGGAGGTAGTGGAGACGGTGCGGCGATTGAGCTATTTCTGAACACAGTGGCAAGGTCTTGTCGTCAGCAGCTTATAGCTTCCAAGTTTTCTGAGATCTCCCCAGTTGCTCGGGTTGGCCGGGGCTTGTGCCATGTGCAGGTTTGAGATATTTCGAGGGGTCTTGAGCGTTGAGACTCGCTTCCAGGCAGAGAGCAGCAGCAGCAACGAGACCAAACATACGAATACCAACACGACAACTGCCGCTTCTTCTGGTCACTTGAGCAGTACGGCCATCACAGATCGTCTTGCAAGGAAGCATAGACGAATACCCATCGCCATAAAATGTGGAGGGGAGATGCCGTACACAGCATCCGAGCAGCTCTCCATTGCACGAGGCTGTACGGCAAGCAGCCGTCCGACGACTTCGATAGTGCAGCCTGGCAGGAAAGCTGAGACTATTTCCTGACGATTGTTGGTACCATCATTCCGTGACGTTTCATAGATAAAGATGGTACCAATGCAAATGGCCATGATGAAGATGACGACGATGACGATGAATAACAAGATGACGAAGAATCTAAGAACAGCACGATGCCTCGGGTTAGAGGGTGGTACTCACTCGTGAGAGGTGCTGTGACACCTGTGGCCGGCTGCACTATGACAGAGTCGATGTTCTAAGGGC